GCTCGTTCGCCTCAGCTAACAAGCTGACGACAGGAGTAGTTCGGAAAGCACCAGTCGCAATGCGAATCGCTGCGTGGTGGACAGTGTCAAGGATAAGCTTGGATGAGGATGCAGCGTTGTCATAGATAAAAGATCCATAGTCCAGACGGGACCGCACCAGAGACCGATAAAGAAGGAGTAGCGTACTACGGTCAGCGCCGTAGGACATGCGAGCGACACACTTCAGAATGTCAAGAGCTTTAAGACATCTGTCACGGAGACACTTTATGTGACTTCGGTAAGTGAGTCGACAGTCAAGAGTCATGCCAAGGAACTTGGCCTCCGCAACCACTGGTATGGCTTCACGGTAGAGCCTCACCACCATGGGTGCAGTGGGGCGACGCTTACGGGAAAACTGCATGCCTACCGTCTTTGCAGAGGAGAACCGGAAGCCGTTCTCCTTGCCCCATGCCTCCACTCGAGCAACTGCCATCTGCAGCTGTCGCTCCATTGATCGAGTCGACGCCGCACTGCACCAAATAGCGAAATCATCGACGTAAAGAGCGCGGCCGATGGCTGGAGAGAGGACCTTTTCAATGTCGTTGATCATGACACCAAAAAGCGTCACGCTGAGCACACCGCCTTGTGGGACTCCATTAATCTGGGCGAACCGCTCAGATAACTGGTTGCCCACACGAACACGGAAGAAACGATCACCAAGAAAACTGCTTAGAAAATGACCCATCGTGCCTCGAATGCCTAGCTTATGCAGCTTCTGTAAGATACCGAATCGCCAAGTGGTATCATACGCTGCTTCAATGTCGAAGAACAAGGCGCCTACTTGACGACCTTGTTTAAAATTCGAGCGGACAACTGAGTCAAGAGTAAGAACGTGGTCGACAGTACTCCGGTGCTTTCTAAAACCACACTGAGAATTGGCAAGAAGTCCGTGCCGCTCCAGATGCCAGGTAAGTCGGATATTCACCAGCTTTTCCAACAGCTTTCCAACGGCGGATGTGAGCGCAATTGGGCGGTAGTGCAGAGGGTCCAAACCGCTCTTCCCTGCTTTTAGAACAGGGATGACAACTGCCTCCCGCCAGGAGTTTGGGTAAACACCCGTCATCCATAGGAGGTTGAACAGCTGAAGGAGAGCATCCAGAGCAACCGGAGGGAGATGGCGAAGCATCTCATTGTGGACAGAATCCGGGCCTTCTGCGACACATTTAAGACAGCTTATAGCTGACTTGAGCTCAACCATTGTAAAAGTATCGTTGTAGCTCAAAACGTCGGAGGTGCTAAAATTGACCCCAGAAGCTTCACAAGACGAGCGGTGCCTGACAAAGGATTCGTCGAGGGACTCATCACCACACCGCCGATAGAGGGCGCGGCCTATCTCCGAAGCAACGGCGTTTGGCTCCATGATGTCCCTTCCATCCACCTTCAGCACGGGTAAGGGTACAGAGGAGTGCCGGCCCGAGATGCGCTTTATGCGCGACCATACTTCGCCGATTGGAGTAAAACGATTAAGAGTGCTGACATATCGTTTCCAAGATAAGATCTTGGCCTCTTTGATAGTGCGCTTGGCAACCGCTCTGGCTCTCTTAAAAGCTATCATGTTGGCCGTGGAACTATTCCGCTGAAAGGCACGGTAGGCACGCTTTCGGGCACGAATTGCATCAGAGACTGATTGAGAGCTAACCAAACCGGTAAGCTCCTGACAATTCCTATTTCAGAAATCCCATCTCAGCGCTACGTCCACTGACGCTCTGTCACTCCGTTCCAGGCTCGGCGGCCCGTCTAAGCGCCGCTGCGCAGGACGACGAAGGGTTCGACATTCTCGCCGCCATCAAGGACGAGGTGGATACCATGAACACAAACCTGGATGAGCTCTCGGCAGCCATCGATAGTGCGATGACCACGACCGAGGCCCCGGCTCCAACGACCACCGGGCAGCCGTCACCCACTCCAGCGCCCACCACCCAACCACCGACCACCACAACCACAGAGGCGCCGACAAAACCGACGACGACGAAGGCACCGACAGAGGCACCGACAACCAGGACACCGACAACTACGGAGCCACCCACAACCACGGAGGCACCTACAACCACGCAGGCACCAACCACCACGGAGACACCCACAACCACGGAGGCACCTACAACCACGCAACCATCGACCACCACGGAGCCATCGACTACCACAGAGGCACCAACAACCACGGAGTCATCGACCACGAGTGTCACATCAACGACTGGAGGGGATGAAAATGGCACGAATCTTTCAGGTAATGAGGACGTTGACGTTTTACACAGGCAGATCAGAGATACTAAGCAGCGTGGACTATTGGTATCCAGACGTCTTCCCAGTCCCAAACTCAGCGACGTTCCTTGTAGTAGCTTTGCAGACATCCCAGCTACGCTGGACAAGGCACAGGAAGCGCTTGACCTGGTCGCCCAACAACAGTTCGCCAACACCACCCTGGAAAAACTGCAGGCCAGCAACACTGATCTCAACTTCACCACCTCCTGTGTCGAGCGTAAAGAAATCAAACCGGACGACAGCACGGCGATAAAGGAAGCCATCTCTGCGGCCGAGACGAGCGGCGAGGCGGCCTCTGACACCATCGACCACGCCAACCCGACGACGCCAACTCCTGAGGACGACTCCGGGTTCCGTTCGGCCACCATCGCGCTCGGCGTGCTCTTCTCTCTGGCGGTGGTGGCCATCGCCGGACTGGCCATCTATGCACAGCGCCAGAAGTCGGGCGGACACATGAGCTAGGCGGGCCAGAACCCAGCGCGTGGCTCCACCACCCCCACGGGCATCTAATCGGCCGACTCTCGGCTGTCTGGAGGGGCGCGGAAGGCGAGGTTCTCCTATCAAGAAACATTCGTAGAGTAATCCTTGCGGACTATCTCGCATTCAGCTTTGTATCGGCGAGACGCTTATTGTGCTTTGTACTGAGTGAGTGTAAGCGCAAGTCGGCTGTTTGACTCAGAGAGTGGGTCTCGTGTTTGTTGAAGCGTTGTTGACTTCCGCTCGTACTGTGCCTGCCCACCACAATCCCGCAAAGCGAGTGGTGTAAATTTACCATTACAATTGCCATAAAGCTTCAAAATATGAACAAATGATGTCAATAAATCAAACAGTTACACCATATGCACCTCCTACTAACTTCAACCCCGGTGCCCACACTCCGACTTTGGATCGCGGGGCGGCGTAGGACCCGTGCCATGTCTGCGCGCGGTACGGGGCGGGTCACCACCGCGGACTTATCAGCACCTATCGCATCATGTCGACACGATCAATACCTGCCCATATCGCGGGCGGCGAGCGGACCACCGGCAGCTGACTGGTCCTCCACGCCACCGCAAGACATGCGAGACAGGCGTGAAACCAGCTGACACACGCACTTAGTACTACTCCATGTTTAAATAGTCAGACCGTGCAATAATAAAAAACGTTTGTTAGTACCTAGGTCGCCCATGCATCGCAGCATTCATTCCCCCTGCGTTTGGCAAGTATGGGGAAACCGCTATCTTATCTGACAGGTCCGGCCTGATGGCCGTTAAACACTGCTGGAGGGTTGTGGGGGGAGGAAAGGCGAGAGGGGGAGAGGGAGGAGTGAAACAGAGAAACAGAGGCGCGGGACTTTGGAGGGAATGGAGGTTTGCCGGGGAAGAGAAACTTTAGTGAAAGGCTAGATGACGGATGGGAAATGGGGGATAGAAGGAAGGGAGTTGGAGAGTGTGAAGAAGGAGAGAGAAGAGAGGGAGAGAGGGAGAGGGAGAGAGAGGTAGATGAGAGAGAGGGAGAGAGAGAGGGTGAGAGAGAGAGAGAGAGAGAGAGAGAGAGAGAGAGAGAGAGAGAGAGAGAGAGAGAGAGAGAGAGAGAGAGAGAGAGAGAGAGAGAGAGAGAGAGAAGATGGGAAGTGCTAATAAAGAAAATCAGAGAAAGATGAGGCAGAGGAACACACACCACGCCTTCGTTCAAGAAGTGCTTGGCTGTGGTATTCGAGGAACGGCTCAAACTTCTAGACAAGTGCCCTAGTTCGCGACGCGACCAGACAGGTGTGATTAACAACACCCATTGAGCAATACCATCTGATGCAATCAATGCCGCATTGCCAAAGTCATAAGATCAAGCCATCAAGTCATTACCAGCATCTTAATCCTGCGCTAAAGCCCATTGCGGAACCGAAGTACTTCAGTCTAGATGAGATGGTAGATTGGTGGCGTCACTTTACACAGAGAGCAAGGAGCTTGTCGTCTGAAGTGTGAGCAAAAGCGGCACCACTCCATAAACCACCACTCTTGGGATCCCCAAGACCCGATTTTTTACAGTTAAGTGTCTTATAGCAAACGTGGAGCATACGCTGTGGGTGGCCGCTTCAACTTGATGCAGCAAATATCCGTCCTCTTGTGCGAGTGCCAAGTATATAGTGTTTAATAGGGTTTGTTCCAGTCGCACTTCCTAACACCTCTAAACTCCTCTAAGAGTGCTTCCCTGTTGGCTGTTACAGTGGCAGCTTTAGCCCAGCCAAGGAGGGCCCTGCTCCAACCTCCTCTATCTTGCTCTTGGAGGAGTTTAGAGGTGCTAGGAAGTGCGACTGGAACAGACCCATAGCCACACGCTACAACTGGCAAACTGCCGTACGTTGGACTTGACAGCATTGACCGAAGTTACGCTACAGACATTCCGTAAATGCTGGATATTTTTCCGCATTTACGTCATCAGTGACATGAAGGTGCCCGGAATCTGATTGAGGCGAATAGGCATTTTCCAACATCGGTGCAATTTAGTGCACAAAATGCCTGCACCATGGATAACCAACATCAGGCTGGAGTGGGTGGGTGGGGGTCGGTGAAGCCACTCGCTAGGGGAGTGTTGGTGGTGTCCCGGTATGACTACAGAGCCTGAATGATGACCAGTGATCGCACAGGACAGTACCTGCATGGTGGATACAGAATCGCTAGAGAGGGGACCGTTGTTACCTGTCGATGGGTCAGGGGTCTCGAGCATTATCTGCACGGTGCGCGCAGGGTCGGAGGGGGTGGAAGGGTCAGTTAGGTCACGGGTCATGGACAGTACCTACCGGGGTCTGTCGGCGAGGGTCCGTTGGGGCCTGTCGAGTGTCCATGGGTCAGGGGTCACGGACAGTACCTGGGCCTGTCGGTGATGGACCGTTGGGGCCTGTCGGTTAGGTCACGGGTCACGGACAGTACCTGCACGATGCGCACGGGGTCGGTGAGCACGTCTCTCGCCAGCCGTTCGACGCGTTTCTTGAACGTGGCACTGAAGAGGAGGGTCTGCCGGTCGGGCCGCACGTGGTCGCAGATGGAGCGCACCTGTGGCTCTGGAGGACACACAGACACGGGGGCGCGTCAGCGGACACCGGGAAACGTACCGGTCACTTCCCGGGACACACCAGACACCAGACACGTCGTACAGCACGTCGGACAGCACGTAGTCTTATCAAATATAGGGCTAAAGTGTGTTACCTACCTTATGGCTATGATTAATTGTAGGGTTGCAATGCTCTAGCTTACGGTTATGACTTATGATTAAATGCAGGGTTATGATTATGGGATATGATCCAAGGGTTATGATTAAAGGTAAAGAGCAAAGTATTCACATTGAAGTGATTTCCTGTGACGCATTAACCCGCGAGTTGCTGGGGGGGGCGTTAAACGCCCTCACTTTTTTCGCCGGGCCATAGCATAAAAACGGCGCGCCGCAGGCGCGCCAAATTTTGGGTACCTGTAGAGAATTGATTGAAGTTTATTGTGACAAAGTTTCAAAAATATCGGTCGGAAAATTTTTGAGATATCGAGGTTTTAGTGACGTCATGATTTCTGAGTTTTCGACCAAAAACGGCATATGTTCAAAAAATCATATAAAATCACAGAATAGACATACAGACATGCCGTAAACGCCATTAGACTGCCAATACCATGGTCAATCAAATGGTTATCTTCGATTATTGATTATCGTTCCGCATTTTCAATAATCTTGAACTGAATCTTGGCAATTTTTCGTGACTACTTCACGACCATGATACATGAAGTTCTTAAATTGAACTTTTTGAGCCAAACACGTACACATATGATAAAATGAATGTCACCATCGTGTTCTACGTCCCAAATTACATATAAAACATGTGTCACAGGCTGCGAATATCAGTTTTGATTTTCGGGGATATGTGCCTACCCGGTTGACCTGACCTTGACCCTGACCTATGCTTGACTGACCCCTACATGGAGCTGACACTCTTGTAGGCCTTATAAGATGGATTGTGCACCGTTTTGACAGAGTTTATGGCGAGAGGCGCCCATTGCGAAGTCCTGAAGTCCATGCTACTGAAAGCCCGATTTCAGGTGTTTGACCTGACCTTGACCCGACCTGTGACCTCAAAATTCAACTTTAAAGTACTCATCTGAAGTGTCTCGTCGCGCTCTTTCGTTTGCCGCCTCGTGCGTTTCGCTGCGCCTATTGGTTCTCGAGTTATCGGCTGGGGGCGTTTAACGCCCCCCCCCCCCCCCCAGCAAACGGTGGGTGGCGAAATACCCCAGCAACTGCCGGGTTAAAGTACAGCCCACTGCTAAAGTAATGTGCGGTTTTACCAATCTCAACGGATGGCTTTGACTGTCGATTTTTTAAAGGTAGTGTGCCACCTTTGAAAGATTTCCCATTTTATTTTTCCTAGGATAAGAAGCTTCTGTTTTTACCTAATATCGCAAAAAAAAAATCAAAAATGGGCCTGGAATAGTGCCTTTTTCGCCTAAAAGTTTATCGGTTTTTCGATATGTATAACAACTGTAGTGGGCTGACCTGCAAACAGGCGTCGGCCACAATCGCGAATGCGGCACACATGTGACAATAAGCAAAGGTCATTATAGAGTTACGAAGTACGGGAATGAGTTATCAGCTGTCTAATCGTAGACAACACAATGTCGAGCCTTAAACTGTAAGCCTGTATTGGTATTGTTTCTTTTATTTGGCTGTCGAACATTATTTATGGTTTGAAATATGATTTTATGTAAAATAATTGATACGAAAAAGCCGTCTCTTAAGTTATGACCCCATTTCACCACACGCAAGTGGCAGAAATGACAATGATCAGCTGACGCATTTTTCTTGGCCGAAGTCAGAGCGTGCGGCCCGACGCACCACCACCGCACCACAAAGTATGAGCAGAAGCCGCGCCCAAAGCCAGGGCCCCGGTAACGTGAGGTAGCCGAGTCGGGGCAGCGTGCGCTGACCCAAGCCGGGGCCGCAGCTTTGGGCGCGGTCTACCGCATCCCCGCGGGCAGCCCCGGGCTATCACATGACACCGGGAGGACGTGCGGCCCCGGCTTGGGTCAGCGCACGCTGCCCCGACTCGGCTACCTCACGTTACCGGGGCCCTGGCTTTGGGCGCGGTCTACCGCACCACCTAACAGGCGTGTTCGAAACCGCAGGAGATGATGATGAACGGGTTTATCGAAACTTGATTGGATGAGCCTATCGGTAATAGCGATTTCAGTGTGTGCATTTATTGTTCATAGTGGTGTGAAATGTGGTTGGGGTACGACCGACAACCCGTCGGGGCGAATTTCGCACTGGGGTACTCAAAATTTGAAGAATTTAAGACGTTTCCATGAGTTTTGAAGGTATGGATAAGTTCTAAAAATCCGGATCTCCTTATCTGGGCCATTAACTCCATACGGTCCAGGAAAGCTGGCACACTACCTTTAATGCGGAGTGATCGAAAAGAAGACGTCAATAGATACAGTTGCAGCTGCAGGGGTAGCGATACAGGTTAGCTACATTCAAAGTTTCATTGTGGTCGGGCTAATCATTCCTAAGCTTCAGAAGCAGAACATACCCGGAACTGAAACCGCACATTACTTATGATGTGGACTGTACCTACAATCAGCATCTGATCCTCTACTCCTATGACACGGCACTAGGAGATACAGGTCCTCGAGTGTTCTCTCCAATGAGATCAGCGTCTTATTCCAAGTGACCGGTGTAGTTCCCCGCCGCCCAGAGGATACCGATACAGTCAGGTTTATCTGAGACCACACCTTGATGTCAGGGATAGCATGAGAAGCACGCACTTGAGACCACACCTGGGGGGGGGGGGGGGCAGAGGTCGTGATGGGGGCGGAAGCGCTCTCTCATTTGACACCGGGGAAATGGCACAATTGTAAGGTTACCTCAAACCCCATCTGCCAGGCTCGAGCAATCCGCAGCCATTACTAAATCGTCCTTCGATCAATTTTCAACCATAAAGAGCACCTTCGAGCTCAAGCTCAGCCTCGGCCAGAACTGCCAGCCTGCAAAAAAAAAATATATTGAAAAGCTTCGTAAGATGGGATCGTGCCTAACGCCTGAGATAAAGAATCTGGCCGACTTTCTGGCTGAAACCTGGCAATTCTGCCATAACAGCATTACTACTGTCATTACTACTACTAATTTACTACTAATTTTGGAGGTCTCCAAAATTTGGAGGAACATTTAATGTTCTGAAAAGGTTATCCCTAAAAGTGAGCCTAAGATGAAACAAACCATATAACGCAAATCCCAATGCAACCACAGAGCCTACAACTCTGTGACCTTTCGCCTTGACCTTAGGCTGATGTCTGCCAGACCTTACACACTCAACATCAGCATTACAGCGATCAGTGCCAGCTCACTGGCGCCAGGGAATGCGGAATCGGTGAGCGGCCGCCGTCATAGCCGTGTGTGCTATAATCGCCCTCCTCACGACGTGGGCGGCGGGCCCTATCACTGCGCGGCCGGTCCGGCGGCCGAACGAGCGGTGTGAATCGCGCACCTGAGCGGTCACAGAGGCGCCGCGCCGGTCGATAGTCGCTGTGGGTGGCACATACCGCCGACATCGGCACCGCACACGGTGTAAATCTGAATATACCATACCCTGTATGTAATACAGCAATATGTTGTACAGCGGTACCCTGTATGACAGCGGATCACTGGGCACGGCGAAATCCAGCGAAAAGCAGCGACAACCATGACGGAAATGTCGAACAGTGTGAAACAAATGTTCGGTGGACACAAAGCCAGGAAATCACAGTCGTATGGTCGTTAAATTCATCGTACAGTCAGCATTGTATACGTTAATAATATTGACCCTGACCCCTGCCAGGGGTCAGAATCTGTCATCCATTGCTTTGGGTACGTGTGCACCGAACAGACTCGTCATTTCAGGACAGAATGATCATCTCTAGTATATCAACGAGCGGTGTTTCGGGTTTCCACTGCTTATCATTATCGGGGCTGCGGCCGAACGCGACATACGCTATAAAGATATCTCGACCAATTCGCGAAAGGACTTAACTGGTACCTGACATCTCACCTGACTCACAGAGCCATCCTCCGGGACGAGATATCGGCACATTGCGCAATAAAACTGACTCCGTGACAATGCCACTCATCTGTGGCACTTGCAACAAAGAACAATTTCGCGGATATTGACACCACCGAAGCAAGTGAAGTGATGCTACTCAACGCCTGCTAAGAAATAATAATTCCGAGTTAAAGCCGGCTTGAAATATCTTCCTTTTCCACACCACTCCTTCCACCCTATAATTAAATAAATGAGAAAGTCGCATCTGCGAAATCTAACTATTGCGACCTTATCCGGAAATGCGCTGTCTCAGACTCCTGTTTCCTCATAACCCACTGTTATCCCCACTTCCCATTTAATCAGGACTTTCAAAGTGTTCTTTTAACCGCGTGTCGACCGCGTCACTGCGTGCTGTTACTCTGTGCAGCCGTATCCGTGTTTCTCATTTTTTGTATTGTCTTCCTACCCCATCGCCATGCCTAAATTTTCATCTCTGTGTCTGCAGTAAACCCGTTTCCGTCTCCGTGTCCCCGCACCCCGTCTCCGTGCCTCCGTCTGTCTCTGTGCTTCTGTATCCCCTCTCCCTGTCTTCTGTACCCACATTACCATGTCCCCCTACCCTCGATCAGTCTCCGTGCCCGACTGCGATTACCACTGCCTCCTTTCCACCGTATCATTGCGGCGGCGTCCGCCCTATGTAAACGGTGTACCGAGATGGCAGACCACGATACCGGCTATCTGTCCTCGTGATCACCTGATAGTACCCGCATCGCCACACCCAACCCCGCCCTATTCCCACATCCCCCCTCGGCCCAATTCTGTCCCTAGACTACCCCAGCTCACCCTGACCCTCGTCCTACCCAATGCCAGTACCCAATCAACATGTCACGCCCCTGTAAGAGCGCAATGCACCAACGGAAAGATGGTCCGCAGAGCAGGTGGAAACAATTAACATTTTGCTCGAAACACGTCAAAGCAGTAAACCTCGGATAATCTCACTTATCCTTGATCATGGCTGATCATCTGTGATGCATTTGTGGGCGCTGATGGCCTCACATGACCGTAACCTCGAAAGCCTTAACCCTCGCCCATGTAGGGGGGGGTTGGTGCAACCCCCCCCCCCCTGAGGTTTTTCGGAAATAGTGCAAAAACGGCGGCGCGCAGCGCCGCCAAATTTTGGGTACCTTATGGGGCAAACCTTGCGCATCTTTTGATAAAAAAAAAAATTTGACCGGGTCATGTCAGGTCACGGAGTTATGACGTCACAAAGGGAACAGCCTCCGGCCGGATTTTCACAAACTGAGTGCCAACGCCCGAGGTTTCCTGCCGGTGGTACGGACATTGGTTGATGGATCGTGATGAAACTTCCCATGCATGTTGGGGCAAGTATTGGCTATCATATGGTATAAGAAGCTTGACCGGGTCAGGTCAGGTCACGGAGCTATGACGTCACAAGAGGAACAGCGTCCGGTACTATTTTTGAAAAGCGCCCGAACCACTATTTTGCTAATTCTTGTCACCTCAATGGGAATATGCAGCAATATTAGCTTCTATAGGGAGCAAATGGACCTTCCAAATCCAAAAATACAATCAGATTTCAAAAATTTAAATTTTGATTTTTCGAATTTCTGCCGCCGACTGTGACCTTGCCGACTTCCGGCGCTCCCAACGCGCCATTTTTAGAGCTAGGGAAACGAAATACATACCAAACGATAGAGAATTGATCAAGGAACACGATAGTGAAGGTTTCAAGTCGATATCTCCCACCGTTTTGCCGCAATCGCCGCGGAAAGTTGAAAAAAAGTCTATTTTTCCGAAAATTTGACCTTTGACCGGTCAAAAGTAGGTCAAATGTTGACCTAGGACCAAAAAATATACCACCAATCGCGAGATCTCGGCGAGAGCAATCCGTTGGTCTTTTCCGCTAAGCTTTACGACGCTCCGTTTTCAAACGCCAAGGGGGGGGGGGTCGCACCAACCCCCCCCCTGCATGGGCGAAGGTGGCAGATCGCCGTTTACGGGCGAGGGTTAAACGATCTCAATGAACGCCATTGATGCATCTTGCTGTAGGCAGATTGCAGAAACATGCCTACACTAAGAGGCAGGGGAACTTACCCATATCACAAAACCCGCCGATTTGAGCCATTCATATTTCATAATTCTGACATATGACCCCATATCTCGTTGACATGACCTGATCCGACAACAGAACACCAGGCTATTTCTCTTCATATAAGCAAAACTTACCCAACATTTTAGTCCTATCCATTTACACCCTCAATAATTATTGGGGAAACAAGTTAAAATTGTTAGGGAATTACTTTATATAGTTAAGTTTTACGAGAGTTTTATAAACACTTGAACACTTTGGGGGATTTTCATGGTGATGAAGGTTGGACTAGATATTGATCAACCCTTAGATATTATATGGTAGATTAGTGAGGGTTAATGAACCTGAAAACATATCCAAATTAGATAATTAGCATATGTATAATTGCACTTTACAGTCATTACGAATTCAAAGCTGCAACAGCAGCTGCTTCCGATTTGAAGAGCAGGATTTTACATAATAAAACCTTGCACATATCACCATAAAACTTATCAACTTTAAAAGGCTAAATTCACTTAATCAGCAGTGCAACAGCGTCATGACGATAAAAAGCCACACAAGATCACTATTCAAACCATAGTGACCCCATTTTTTGCGTTCAGCAATCAGCAGGATCTGGTGCGGGCTCTCCATTTTATCAGAGCTGCTCCTCAACACACCCATAACTCTGTGACTGAGTCATTAAACGCCAGCGAGCGACCATTGAGCTCTCCGGGTACACTGTTGCAACACAGGCCACTCGAGGCGGTCTCTCGGCACACGTCATATCACAGGTCGGTGTGAGCAAACATCCTTCTAACGGCACGTGCAGAGGAGAGCACGATCCCCTCTTCTCCTCCCTCCAATCCTAGAGTTCGAGATGGCGAGGCGGACGCACACTAGACCTTTATCAGACTATTTTACCACTTCAACAGACATGCCATGGCGTATTGCGTGTCTCATTGCAAGCCTATGTAGTTAGTATCATAATTCAAAAGCACGATATCACATTTATCTGAACGGACTACTACTGCGAATGAGCTACTGATAACCACTTGCAGTTATACAGATGACCACGCATCTAGCTTTCTTTTAGTATACCGTATACAATTTATCCATACCATAACTGTATGGATAAATTGCATTGCATCCATACCATAGTGCATTGCATCTATGTAACTAAAATTGTAACTAGGCCCTCGCTATTCGATACAGCGCTTCCAAAGGGAGAAGTTCCGTTGTACTTAGCAGAGGCTGGAAAGGCCAAAGGTGGATGATGGGAGCCGAGAGCGTCAATCCTGCCACGCCCTAAACCATCCGTATTCCGTGGTCATTTCTCCGAGGTCCGTGTGAGCGACAGGTTCGGAGAGCGTCATCCTCATTTCGTCGGGAACGGACGGGGGGGGGGGGTTATAAGGGTGTCGACTAATAGGTCTCGTTCATTAGTGACCACCAAGGGACGTGGGAAAGGAGTCAGGGAATATGGACAGAGAACGAACACTTCGTCTGACCTCCCGGGGTATGTCTAACAGAGATGAATGTAGCGATAGTCGGGGCGGTCTGTAACAATTACCCCGCTCGACACATTCTGGACCATGTGCAGATGTCTTATCCAAATAAATCCGGGATCGTTTAGCGGTGCGAGTGTCCCTCTTCTCCGATGAAGCCCTTACAGAGACGGAGCTCGACACTCCCTAACCCCCCCCCCCCCCGTGATGCTCCTCAGACCGCTGATGCAGTCGTAGATACCTACTCCGATAAATCAGGCGGCGGTAGAGCAAATACGCCGATCGCCCTGCTATCGCTCCATCCCTATCCTTACCCTCCCCTCTCCAGGGCCGAACGACACAACGATTCCGTTTACTGCAGCTTGAGGGACTCAACTGGCTTACAGAAACTTCACAGATAACTGTACCCTGACAGATAAACCCAAGGTAGTGTTATGGACGACACACAACGGTTTCCTTCAGTTGCATCACTCGTATTGTGATAACGTGCCATTTAAATATTCAACACTTGAAATGTAGATTCTGTACCATGAAAGATCATAAGACAGCCATCATAAGAAAGCTTTCTTTCATTGGGTGCAAGAAGATGGATCGCACCGTAACATGCGAAACAAAAATATGTCATGCAAAAAGGGCTAATGTCAAAGCTTACATGTAATGTTATTTTAGGGCCAGATGTTTTAAACACCTCTCCTCCCAACTATCAACGATGGATCAAAATTATGTCAAATCTTTGTCAATGCCTGATTCTGTAGCGTGTCTAGCATTCTTAAAGGGACTCTCCCACCTTCAAAAAAGTTAATTAATTGGCATAAAAGTGATGTCGCTCGGTTCAGAAAGAGCAAAAACGAATATCTACCAAATATCACCGAAAATTTCACCGGTTTTCAAGATATTACACTTTAACTTTTGTTTAGGTACTTTTTGCGACCCCGCTGTTCCTTTGTCGTCATTTGGAAGCAATAATTTGGCATCCTGAAAGTGCGGCAGATGTTGCGCGCAAACAACATATACCACCACTGTTTCACAAAGATGGTAGAATAAGATTTTAAAATCGCTAGATCTGAGCAGACGTCACAAATTCAGAGGGGGCATTCATTTCAAATGCATTAGACCCTCTGAATACAAAGTGATGCAACTTTGAAACTAAATATCTCCGAATGAAAGCCTTTCTCGATGTTGTAAGTGCCCAAACTGGTAAGTGCAAGCCAGGGACCCTCAACTCGAACTCAAAACTAATTTTAAGGTAGGATGGTCACTTTAAAATACCCACACTAATACCGAACAGCATTGATCATCAATGCTGCGTCAGCGCTTTTACAGAAACTAAGCGAACTGCTAGCGCCTAGCGGTGTTCACCTTAGCAGGCTTCTGCGGTACTTCCAACGGTGCTTCTCAACCAGGCAGTAGACCAATCAGTGCGAAGTGTCATGAACTACCACATCTCCAGTAGTCTATGGAAGTGTGGATACTATTTGGTCAGTTTCTACTGCATTTTGTAGATAACATCGTCAGAAAATACAGCTAAGCAGAAAAAGCAGCACCAGCTCCAGCAACAATCCAATGAATGGCCACTGATACCAAGCATAACCATTTTGTTGAAGAAAAAAAATATATATCTCGTAAAATTATCTTCATCGAATATATGCCAATGACAGGTCTCGCGGGTTTTAGCGGCAGGTTTTGCACCTACGAAATTTAGGATACCTCATGTTATATCTTCGTCGTCTTAAGCGTGTTGAAGATGCGATCGATTTGCTCGTTCACAAGCCTGCCATTATCGTATAAAATGGCTTCATCGTAGATTGATTAGTTTCTGAGATATAAGGGGAAATATAAAAGGGCAAAACCTACCGCTTAATTTCGCGAGAGCCGTACTTGAGTTTCGACATAAGTGTGATGTCAAGAAAAGACATAAATGAGAGAAGATGAGAGCATAGCACTCATAAAGCATGTTCACGCCCAATCGAAAGGCGCCGTCTGTTTATTGGAGCTTTTGGGCGCGCCGACTGCAAAGGTCAATTTGCGCCAAAAGAAATGTCCCGTCATTCTGGCCACTTATAGCGTTCGATATATCAAGTACCTACCGTATTATTTGTATCACCCTAACATTCCGGAAGTCTCTTACGCCTAAGAGCCAGCGATTCAGGAATGATCCGCAGCGATCTTTGCCGCCAGTAGCTCCTTAGATCACCGATAGCGTCACCAAAAATAGCGCCAAGGCTCGCCGGATGGGATCATCATAGCATTCTACTTACCGAAGCCCATGTTGAACATTTTGTCGGCCTCATCCATGACTAGGTAGGTGACGCGCAGCAGGTTGGTCGCCTTCATCTTGATCATGTCGATCATCCGACCTGGAGGTGGTGGTGGGACGCGTCAGTGGCTGCAGTGGCGACTGCGACATCAAAGCGTCACTAAAACACAGCGGAATTTGCAGCTTCCGAACAGTTATCACGTGCAAACACTGGAAAGTGAGTGGCTAAAGGGAGTAGGGACTTCGGTACCAAACACTTCTCGATTCCAGGTACGGAATAAAGACATCCTAAAAATATCCGTAAACCCAAAATAGTAATTAAACATCAATTCGTGCTCCTCAAAAACATTTGTAACGCAAACGTCCCTTACAAACCGGAAACATTCCCCATCAAAGCTTGGAGCTTATATAGACTCTCCGTGCTTTTTAAACCTAGCAGCTTTCCAGCGCAGAGCACTGGAAGTTCCCCGGCGACCGACCTGGCGTGGCGACGACAATCTCGGCGCCCGCCTCCAGTGCCTTGGACTGCTCCCACTTGGAGCCGCCGCCGTAGCAGCATACCACGTGGATGTTGTACACCTTGCCGAACCGCTTCGCTTCCGAGTAGATCTGAGGGAAAAAGGAAAGGGGTCAGTTCGAGTTCAGAACTAGATGAGTGTGGCATGGGGTCAGCACGGTATCACTGCGAGGCAGGACGGGGTCAGGCTGGGATCGGCAGGGATAAATAGGGTCACTTCGTGTCAGCAGATAAAATCCACAGGAAGGTGTGTCTTTTACAATTGTTGTCTTATGTCTTTTGCAGTGCAGCATATCATAAATACAACATTTAACTATCTTTCGTCACAGATACACAATAACATTACATCATCTCACCTAAGTTTGACTGAACGTTGCGTCACAACCTAGACCGAATAACTGGAAAATACATGGAAAATAAATGGAGAAGGGACAGGTCCACCGGTCTCGGTAATGCGCGACTCCACGACCCCAACGATGTATCATTGACCATCTTTTATCATTTTAAGTCAGCAAACGTTCGACATAAATGTGTTCATCATATACAGCCAGTAGCAGGCTATCATCGTGCACTCTTACAAAAAAAAAAAACTAAAGCGGTTGATACATTTTAAAAATACCTGTCCATGGTCCCAAAGCTCATACAACAGAGAACTACTAAGTTGGCAGCACAGCGAAGATAAAAAAAAAATATTTAGATGATAACTGAAAGGAATGCGGGAACCAAAGACCAAGTAAGGTCACATCGGCATCCTGTCCAGGGTGAAGGGTCGATGGTTGTGATTCCACTCCATATTTTGGCGCAGTAAAACCCTTGTAACACAACACTCGACAATCAGTTAGTGGCGGTTGGAGTATGAAAGCTCACTCTTCTCACAGCTATCGAGATGGCCGATTCGGGGGGAGTACCGGCAGGGGTCCTATCTGACCGAGCTCACTGTTCTATTTGCTCTAAGTTAACACGGTGTCAAGATACAGGGAAATGGGACTGGCTGAACAATAGAGGTATTACAACAAGCAGATCGCAAAAAACGACGTTATTTGGCTTCAGATTACTCAAAAATGTCTGAAACATGTCAGCAGAATCTGTCAGGCTACGAATAACTAAAGATAGCTAGATTGTTCGTGTTGTATGTAGAACAATCACAATCGGAGCTTTGTTGGTGGGACAGCACACCTCCCTTTTTCCTTTCCTACATAGCCTAAAAAGCCTACAACGAGATGATTTATTGGGAGGTATACGGTTTTAACAATGATTCCTGCATAGCTTTATTATGAAAATCGTTAACTAAGATTACCTAAGGTCATGACAGAACTCACAAGGTCAGATAAACTGTTATCACAAAAATGGCATATGTGATTACGGAGCGAGCGAAGCGAGCGTAGTCTTTCCTTAGATTAACGGAAATTTCTGAGTATGAGCGGCCGGCCGGCCGGCCGGCCGGCCGTGCGGACGCTTTTGCGAGGCTTATATCTCAGCAACCACTTGACCGATTTACACGCGGTAATTTTTGTAGGGTAGCTTCATTCCTTCTACCAAGTATTGGACTATTCCCAATGCATGTGGGTGACCCCTTATGCACGTGCCACGTGCAAAACGAAGAGGTGTCAGTTTTGTAATTGTTGCAATATCTCGGCAACTACTTGGCCGATTGCGCTGAAAGTTGGCATCAGGGCTGCGGAGTCGATGGATTTTCGGCGACTCCGACTCCGACTCTGACTCCGGCTTTGAAAAACCAGCTCCGACTCCGACTCCGACTCCGGCTTTGAAAAACCAGCTCCGACTCCGACTCCGACTCCGGGCAGAATTGTCGACTCCGACCGACTCCAACTCCCGACTCCGACTCCGCAGACCTAGAAGGGCTGCGGAGTCGACAGATTTTCGGTGACTCCGACTCCGACTCCGGCTCGGGTTTCTAAAATCGACTCCGACTCCGACTCCGACTCCGGTCATAACTGTCGACTCCGACCGACTCCGACTCCGACTCCGACTCCGACTCCGCAGCCCTGGTTGGCATGTAGGTAGGCACCCACTAGGCACTGCATATCCATGTGCCAGAGTTGGGGTGCTGCTGCACGTGCGCACGTGCAGGGGTCGTTTCCAGATCTCGAGAACGGCTGGACCGATGGCGCTCAAATTTGGTACACGGTTAGGGACCAGTTAGTAGGGTGCCGTGCACAAGTCAGTTGGGACCCATTTTGCACGTGCGCACGTGCAGGGTGCCGCTCCCAGATCTCGAGAACGGCTGGGCCGATTGTGCTCAAATTTGGCACATCGCTAGAAACCGGTCAGTAGGGTGCCGTGCACAAGTCAGTTGGAGGTACCCCTTCGAAATTTCGCACGTGCAAGACTCACCCCCTCGCTCGCTCCGTTAGTCGCCCCAAAAGGCGCTATACTGGTAGGTATCTGCCTCGCTCAGCAATTGATATGCCAATTATGTTTGATGGGAGTCATAACACATAATGAAGAGTGGATCTCAAATTTTGTCGGTAACCTGTATTCGAAAAAAAATCAGCCCCATTTGCAAGCTCAAATTAATGAGTTTATCGTTTGGCACATCTGACTCATAAAATACAATACTTCGATCCACATACCTACGAGTGTGGTGCCTCAAAATCACAAAGCGAATCACCGTTCGAAGCAGCTCTTTCATCATTTGTCAGCGTAAAGAATATGTTATGACCAACGAACAGTGTTCCGATGACAGGCCCATCAAGGCATCAGTGATTGTCAATGATAAAGCTGACGTAATATAAAATCATGACACATTTGCTGACGGATACCGATAGCTGCTCAATACTGTACAGCGTACAGAATCAGTGGGTGTTTTCGTCCGAATCCGTGAATCCGTTTCGTCCGTGCGTGCGTCTTCGATGACGTGAATGATTTGCCACAAAACCTGTCAAACTTTCCTGGCAACTCTCCGTCCGAACTCTATCGTCACTCCGAGTTGATCTTTTCTCCGCGGCTATCACCTTTACGGCTCTTCCCAAATCCCATATGACGGAACTCCCTGCCGGTTTATGGCTAAATTACTGCCAGGGTCGCGGCCGGTGACGTGTGGTGTCGACCGCACTGAGCCCGGCTTCGCACCCGGGTGGCACGGACTCTGATATCGGCACAGGACTGATAGGGGCGGGCGCCGCGGCGACCCTGCCCCGACCAGGCCCCGGTCCGTGAATCAGCAGAGTACAGCGTGCTGGGACAAGGGGAAAGAGCGCCAGACCGAGACCAGGGAAATAAACCAGTAAAATCTCACGGAAGGGGTTAAGTAGCGTGTCACTAAAACGTTTGTTTGTATACGCCAAAAGATTACGCCACGATCCAGCTTCGGCCATGTCAGCAGCCGTGTTCAACGTTAATACAGCCTGTGTTCAACTCAACTGCTTTAGGTAGATTCATCGTACGAGGTAGAATGCATTTGAGTAAGCGTCATAAATGACCTATCCAAATGGACCACTTCGTGCATACTATAGACTTCAAAGACATCATAGCCGCAGAAGCATAACACAAAACATAACCATGACAGATATGATGTGACGGATGGCAAACCTGTCATTGCTACCTTAGAGTTCTGAATCTGAAGTAGCATAATGTTTTAGAAGGATGCGGGGGAGGATGCCAATCAGTAACAAAAACGTGTCATTTTTTCCTCTTTCAACACGTCACCCAATTAACGTCATCGGCTATAACCGACGTCAAAACAAAACGATGACAAAAGCTGGTCAGAAATAAACAATATCAAGTACGTCATAACCTACGCAATACCACCTCTCAGAGCTAGTTATGTACTTAACTGGGAGATCCACAGACCTACGTCACGGGTTTGAGCGTACACCAGAAGTCTCGAGTGGTCGGACAATGTGCGAGGGCGTCTGACCTACGGTGTCGCCATATGAGGCGTCATCTCGCGCCGCTCAATATTATCGGTGTACTTAATCTTCATTCGTCATACGCAAGATCTTCAAACGTCTGCGTGGCGGATAAAAACCAGTCGAGTGGCGCAATCATGAGACGCTGAAATGACGTGACATAAGTGAGCTGTGATTTGAAGTTCGATGAGAGACTTATGAAACAACTTAGCTATAATTGAGGATGGCACCCCAATATTAAGTTCAGATGCCCTTGCACAAAACACAGCCTCTTGAGGTTTCGAGTTCACACTCAAACTTGTGGCGTAAGTATGTGGTGTCTCCTAGACGCTTGGGCAGCACTGATACACTACACAACACGGCGTGTCAATGATTTGCCTTAGTGTTTCCTCCACTAAGCCTCATCACACCCTATCGGTTTTCTACACATATGCCCAACCGAGGCGAGGAGAAGGCGATCCTCAGAGCAGTTTCGTCCCCAGTTGAGCTAGAGCTTCGCGGAAAAAACGAGTGTGCTGGTCGTCACGAGACGCAAGTGACTGCCCGATTTCAATGTACCAGGTCCCTGCGAGGTCAGGGAAACTGGCAAACTGGAAACTGGGAAACTGGAAATGATCAAACGGTCGGGTCTGGGGCCTAGCCTAAAGTAAATAACTTCGGTATGCATGATGACACGGCAATGGCAATGGCATGACACGGCACGGCACCGCGGCAACCGAGCTCATCAAATGAGATGACGCCTGACACTAACCTGTCTGTGAACTGTTGTGAATGTAACAGCCCACTGACCAATGACAGCTCCATGACTGACTCGCTGTGGCAGCTGAAGCTCCCAAGAACCAGACAGGTTTCATAACCATGCGGTGACAGTTTTACTGAGCTGCTGTGAAAGCTCCAGTGACCTGCTGTGACAATTCCCACTGACCAGAGGTTTCACTAGCCTGCGGTAACAGTTTTACTGACCTGCTGTGACAGCCCTATGACTGGCCTACTGTGAGAGCTCCCAAGGACCACAGGTTTCACTAATCCACTGTGACAGTTTCACAAACCTGCGGTGACAGTTTTACTAACCTGCTGACAGCTCCAGTGACATACTGTGACAGCGCCATGACTGAGCTGCTGTGACAGCTCCCACTGACCAGAGGTTTCACGACACTAGCCCACGGTGACAGCTTTACTGACCTGCTGTGACAGCTCCCTGGTGGGTGCCAGTACCAGACCGATGGGTCCGTCCCCTGGCCGCAGCTCCGGCTGGTCCATGATGTGTACCAGCATCGGCCACAGGAAGGCGGCTGTTTTACCAGAGCCCGTCTTAGCGATACCTGGCGGCGGCGGCGAGAACCAATCAGTAACACGGTGTAATAGAACTGCGGCATAGCAGTGCTGAGGGAGGGGTGTGTGATGTAAGTAACGCGCTTCGTGATACATCATTCTGTCATTTTGACCACCGGACAAAAACAAACCAATTTTACCTCTGTAGCAGCAAACAACCCAATTGCGCCAGCTAGCCACCGAAATCCAGTATCAGCTTTGAGGCAAACACCTATTCCATCGTTGATTAAATGCAAACACATGCAAAACACTAAGCGAGACCAAGCATTGCTTACCAGTACAAATCAATATTTCGCCATTCTGATCCGGTCAAGCTCGGTCATCTTTTCCACACCATACTCAATGGTCAATTTTCCGTCAGACCTTCCCGCCTCTCCCCTACTGGATTGTTTGCTGGCGTACAGGGCAAGTCGACGGCAAGCAACCCTACATAAGTTGAATCACACCACAATCCCCTATAGGATTATTTATTGGTGTGGGGAATTTCGACGCGGGTAAGCTCCTATAAAATTAAATACACCTACTCCCACCCACCCAGCCATACATCCCACTCCCACAGCTAAAGTTTTGTTCGCTAAGGTTTAGGGACAATCCGCGATCAATAACATTTTTAAATAAAGAAAGCGATGCGTACCGATGACATCCCTGCCGCCGAGCGCCACAGGCACCGCCTGGCTCTGGATCGGAGTCGGCTGGGTGTACTCCATCTTCCTGATCGCTTTCATCAGACTCTCGTCGAAACCGAAATGGGCGAACGATGTGACCGGTCGCGCCGGCAGGGGGCCAGACACCTGCCGGATAGACGCGCAGTCGTCAGTGGTAAAAACGATTGCATGAGGGGCGAGACAACGGACGTAATAGACACAGAATGATGGCGACATTGCGTAATACATACATGGTTAAAGTGGGAGAGCCTGTGGGAGTATGCAGTGCGAAGACTGTTAAGACACACCATGTTGCCGCCGACAAGAACGATCTCCCATTATGTCTCGTGAGAATTAAAACATGTTTTGCTTACATCGACAAGGAAACCCCATCATTGCCTCATTCTAGCTCGGCAGAGGCGGAAACAACCACTCCCCTCCCTGACCTCCGGCTATGCCCGCCTGTCACTCGCCGCCCATGGCTCCCACTCTCGATTCGCGGCTGACGATCTCACCTTGATCCCCAGCTTGTGCCTGAGCTGGTCGATTTCCAGCAAGGACAGGGCGCCGATGTCATCCGGCTCGATGTAGAAGTTTTTGACAAAGTCCTCGTACTTGAGTTGAGTGTGGTCGATCGGAGGCAGCGGGTCGATGTACTGCAAACAAGAGGGAAAAGAAAGAGACGGGACAGGAAAGATGTCATAAAACTGATCTCAGTAGAGGGATGAATTAGCATATGACAAAAAAAAACGACAAACGAGCCCAGCAGCTACTGGAAAGAATCTACCAAGTCCATAGAATCAAAAGAGGTCAAGTGTTCGAGGCTCGAATTTCGAAGCTCGAAGTTCGAGATCAGCTATGTTCAGATCGAGATCAATTTCACAGATCAGCTGTGTCGCTATTCATTAACTGCTAAATCAAGACAGCCTTTCCTCAAAACACTTTACAATCAGCACCTACACATCCCACCTTGACCCTAAGCACCTACCTTGGATTTGACAGGCACGATGGGGTTGCCCTCGGCGTCATACTCAATCTCCTGGTCCGATTCGTCGTTGTGGGTGCCCGCGTTCGGGTTCTCTTCCATGTACCTGCAGGTGGCGCACCGAGGGTCAGAATAGATGACGCTACTGTAAGCTCAGCTCCAGCCTCTAGTGGAACAGCCAGCAGGTGAGATGAGGAAGACAATGAAAAATACCTTAGACGGAACTGAAAAAATGTGCCAATCGTACTGAAGTTAACACCATATATTCAAAAAAAGAGCAGAAAATGCAAACGCACATCATACAAATACCATGCAGGCTCAACCGCACAAGAAAACGACTGGTCCCTTCAAAAAACGGTCATCCTCTTATATTTACACGTGTAACGTTGTTCTTACATCAACTTAGCGATATACTCAGGTTCATCCGCTTCGTAAAAAAAAAACATCGGAGAAAGGTTATCACCAACCTGAAGAACGACTCGTGGTCGTCCTCCCCCTCGATGTCGTCTCGGACCCCCTTCGCCGGCGGTTTCTTGGCACTTGCCTTTCCGCCCTTGCCTTTACCGGCCTATGAAGAAAGGACGATATTCTCATAGTGCAGGAAAATGCAGCCAGAAATAAATTGAAACCAATTAATGCAGCTGCTAGCAAGCATCTTTAGATTTTGGCCCCTGGAAATGGTTATGTGCAAAATACAGCGTCTCGGATGACAAACCGTGACGCAAAACTGAGACACAAACATTTAGTAAGCAATTGAGCTTGCCCAGTTACGCAACGAAGAGATGCCTTCACAGAAGTCGTAAGTGGCTGTTCCTGACTTACTACCGGCTTAATTCATAATGTGCAAACTGAAAACTAGCCACGTAGATGAAGCAGAACCTGAGGCAATGACTAATTCACCTAACCAATGTCAAAGTAGCCTTGTCATCACCCCGTCGTCCAACTCCGCCCACCTTCCCCACTCCATCCCACCTTCTCTCCCTTCCTCTCTCCCTCTCCCCTTGCTCTCCCCTCCCCTCCCCCGCACCTGCTGTTCTATGGACGCCATGAACGCGTCTAGTGTGTCCTCCTCCGAATCCGAGTCCTCCTTGGCAGCGGAGGCGGACCCGCCTCCCGCCCGCCTCCGGTCAGAGGCGGAGGGGCTGCCCGGCGCCGGGATGTACGCCATGCCGGCGCTCGACTGGCCCTCCTCACCCTCGCCGTCAGAGTCGAAATACCTGCGTGGGGAGGGAGGGGGGGGGGGTGAGACACTGGGAGTGGGATGGATGAAATACATTGAAGGGTGTCCTGCAGTGCAGTGGTAGGATGGAGTGCAGCTGTGAGTGGGTGTAGTTATAAATTATCTTGTAGCATTGTGGATAAAGCGGATAATGTCTTGGCAAGATATGACGATGGTGGTTCTAAATATTGAAGTAGCTGATCTGTGCAATCAAGCAAATTCAAAATAGGTAACCAAACCAGATGCCAGGGAGGATAAATTGCTCAAGTCACCACACTTCATCATTTAAAGGTGTCACATGCATTTTGACACCCAGCACTAAGAGCATAGCCCGGGGACGAGTCTAATCTCACAACCAAATTCAACTATTGTCACGGATAACGGGAACGAGCTACATAATTCCTCGTACACATTTCTCATTAACGCATCCAAAAACAATTATCTGAACACACAAGAAAACGATTCTCATAACAACTCCCAATTACGACTCATAAGAGAAAAAGGAAAAAGAAAGACAGAAAGAAAGGAATATGGAAAGAAGGCAAGAGGGAAACAGAGGCTTGGGCCGCTAGGCATCCGAGCACCCCAGGTCGTTCAGTCCTCCGTCCCCGTTACTCACTCCTCCTCGGTACGTATTTTGCGTTTGGGCGCGTTGAAGTTGTAGGTGGCCAGCGCGCCGCTGGCAATGGATGACATGGTGCTGTAGCCATGCTTGCTCTTCTGGGCGCCCGGCGGCGGCGGCTGGACGGCCGCCGGTCGCGGAGGAGCCGAGGAGTAGTTGTAGTTGTAGTTACGGCCGTACGCTCCAGGCTTGTAGTTACTCATGGTGAGCGAACTCTGTTTAGTCTCACTCACTCTGTCAAAAGATATACATGTTGGTGATGAAAGAAAAAGTCAGAGAATAAGCAGAGCTTGATGTGTAGGCACTTATCTTCACCATCTGATCGGTATAACATGCCATAACGGTATTTGTGGCATCATATTAATGGTGTAACGTGCCGGTACTTGTGGATCGCGTGCAGTTATCGTAGAAAAAAAGGCTTCCATTTTCCACTTGGAATTAACGTGATTTGATTAAATTCGGCAGATTCACTCGAAAATGGTGATAGGAAATGGCTTTTCTGCAGGTTCTGGGCGTCAATATCAGCTGGCAATTCAATAAATGGATTGTGATTGGTGTTTTGAAAGAAAATTGTTAAAAGATTGAATTTAATCACAATACACAAAGATATTTCATTTTAAAATAATAACTTAACCACAATTAGAAAAACCATAAACCAAATAATAAAAATAATGACATTTTAAAACCCCGGTGCTGCTTACATTTTTTGGTGCGTCTGTTTCAATCCGCCAAATTTGCCAATCAGTTTCACCTTGTATTGTAACTATGCGATTTAGAGTCACCAGTGCATCGTGCACCGAGTGAGTGTAGGCCTTGTGTGGTTAAAAAACATCTTATGCCTTATTTTTTTCATTTGAATGCATGGAAAAGATGTAGTGTTCTGATTTTATGACCATATATGGTCATCACCCCGCCCACTCCAGCCATTGATTGGTTGATCAAATTTTAGCTTGGCGCCTCGTAGTTTCCCAAACGGTAAATATTTACTTTAGGACCGGCACACTTTTTCAAAGGGAAATTTTCGACAATCTTCCATTATTTGACATCCTAAATCCAGAAATGATGCTTACATGTCACCAAAACTGCAAAAAGTCACACAAAAACTTGATAAACTCCAGCCATCTCACCCCGCGTCACGCAACGTACACCGACAAAATTATACGAATGTGGCGATTACAATCTAAACAACGTGTTTGCGCCGTTGCCATTTGCGAAAAGGAAAAATATGTGCATCTTTAATTCAATGAAAATGACGTCATAACACCAAAAAAATACATATTGGCGAAATTTAAATGGTTAAAAATTGGGTGATATGGGGTAGGATAGCAAATTAAACACGGAAAAAATTTTCAGAACATAACCTAACCTTACCTAACCTGACCTACTGATATTTGCCTACCCGGGGATAAGGAAAAAGTTGCTCGCATGAATAGATTGCAAGCAATGGTAGGTCAAATATTTTTAGGTTAAGTGATTGTGCATTAGGCTTCAGGCCTTCGGCCTGAAGCCAAATACACAACCACTTAACCTAAAAATATTTGACCTACCATTGCCTGTAATCTCTCCTAAGGCATTGCCTTCGGCACTGCCGCTGCTTCGCGACGAGAAATTTCATGACGTCACTTTCCTCACAGTTGAATAGCATCGTTAATATGTATCCACTAAACCTTGGAACGCAGTGCGTGACCGGTGGAGTACGCACTCGGTGGGGATCTACGGCGGTGACGGTAAATATTGTATTGGTGCATTTTAACTTATTTGTGCCATGAATGACTATCAGCTATGAAATCAAAAGGTCAAATTATGTCATGCGATATGCTTCTTACTATCACTTGGGGTTCGCGACGAAAGTAAAGGCTGCCGGTCCTAAAGTAAATAAATACCAAAATTAATATAGTCGATGAAATTTGAACATTGAATAAATGCATGCAAATATACCTATGCTTACCAAAAGTGGTTAGCTTAGCAGTCTCATTCGTGACTGGAACTCGAATCAAACCACGCACCAAGCCATTTTCACAAATGGATTTCAAATTCAAGCATTTACCTCAGTTTAATACAGTAATATCATCGATGTATTATTGACATTTGCTCAAAACACGCGTCTACAGTTTGGTCCTTTTCAGTTGTGTTCTATCTATGCCTTTCTGAAACAGGAAAGCCTGTCCCTCGCTTTACCATTTGTCGACAACAGAATTCGGACCCGACTTTTTCAGCTCATTCACTATTTCTACGCTTACGAACACATTTTATATTCTAATCGTCTCAAGCGCGCTGAAATTATAGTGCTTCCACATAACTAATTACGCTGCCATATCTGCTTTTCCCTTTTTAGAGCCATAAATTTTACTGAAAACGTAAAGTTTTATCTCCGCTAGTGGTTTAATTCGTTATTTTCAATAGCCTTTACCCATAGGCGCGGGAGCCGGGGGGGGGGGGGGCAGTGGGGGCAGCTTGCCCCCCCCAACTCTGGGGCCGTGGGGGCGGTGCCCCCACAGCTTTGAGACGGAATACCACACTTTTTTTGCAAATGTTTTCTTTTTTTGTTGAAAAAGCCGAGGGATGAAAAACAAGTGGCCAAACCGGTGAGAAAACTAGATTTGGGGGTACCCTAGGTTGATCTCTATTATGGTGTGCCCCCCCCCCCCCCAGTCGGAAAGTAGTTCCCGCGCCCCTGTCTTTACCCTTCTCTTGACTTTACATAACTGAGGCCGCATGCCCCTCCATAGTGACCGTTTGAGTGTCTGCCAGACTGGCCGTGCCACGGCCCGTGGCTGGGCGGTCTGCCGCCCCAGAGTGGAAATCCCGTTCCATTGAAATTGACTCGGCCCACTGAGTCCCCACTGAGCAGTGAGCCACTTTTGCCCTGAGTTAACATCATCTCAGTGAAGTCCACTCAGACCCTATTCAGCCCAGATTTGGCCCCAAGTTGACCCGCGCCCCAGTGTCAGTCTGGATTTTCCACGACCTGGTGTGGGGGGTGTTTGAACACCCCCCCCCCTTCTATCTCGGCTCCTGGGCCACGTAGCGACACGCGGTAAGCGGCAATCGAAAGAACGTCAAAAATAAGGACGAAAACACTTTGTTCATTTTTTGGGTCAGGTCAAAGGTCAGGTCACCAGAGGTCACCAAAGGTAAAATGTTGACTATTTCAACATTTTGGAAACTGCCAACGGCTATCTCGGGAACCGATAGAGCTACAGCGCCGCAGAAAAGCGCATTCGATAGCCCTTTTACAGACCCTTTTGATAAATGCTCTCAGATTTGACCTCAGGTCAACGGTTTAGCCTCCAGAGGGCAAAAACTCCAAAAATAGCCGTTTTTACGAAAATCGGTTTTTCGGCGACAACTTTTGACTCAAAAAAAGTCATGACATTACTTTTGCCAGCATCGTGTTCCTCTCGTCGAGACGCGTCGAATGAACTATAAGTTGACCTTGAAAGGTCAACTTGAAAATTTAACCTCAGGTCAAGGTCATGACCTGACCGGAAAAGGTCATGTTGCATATCAGTCGATCTGCAACGTCGAGCCAAACACATCTAAGGCGTTTTCAGCGCTCTAGCACGCCTCTATCAGAAGTTATTAGCGAAAAACTGTTAGATTCTGTTCGTGACCTGAGATGACCTCGGGGACATAACGAGGGGTCGCAGTTGCCATTTTCCGGTTCAGTGTGTCAATTTTACCTACATCTCGATGTTTGAGAGTGTCTAGAATAGCGTTCGTGCAAAACAGACGCTTTTCAATTTTCTCCCGTTGACTTATAATGGAGAGGCCGCAAAATTGACCTGACCTTAGGTCACCGATATCAAAATTCCGAGATATACATTTTATAGATACTGTTACCCTCATCAATCGCTGAAAGTTTCAAAGTGATCGGTCACTCGGTGTAGCTATGGCAGACATTGAAACCTTTTATGAGGTGAGGTCACTTCAAGTGACCTGGTGACCTGACCTTGAATGACCTTGGTCTGAAATTTTCACAACATGTGTGGAATTGATGTATGATAAGGTGTACCAAAAACGGCGGCGCATATCTGCGAAAAACCGCAGGGGGGGGTGTTCAAACACCCCCCACACTTGGGCGCGGGTTAAATTACGAAGGCAGCCCAAATTAAATTGGGGATACTTCGGGTCCTCGGATCCACTTGAAGTTCGCACAGTGGTGTGCGAATTTCTGAGCCCTTGGGGTTGGCCCGGTAGCAAATACGTGGCCAAAACCATTCGGTTTCAGTCTTATCCGTCCGTCTGACCCTCAGAGGTCAACATAGTGAAAGGTCACGACCCAAAAATTTGCACAACATACCTATGCACAACACAGCATCTGCACATTGGACCTTGAGAGCACTAAAAAAACGACAAAACGACTCGCCTTTATATTGATATACCGTCGACTCGACGGTATATCAATATAGAGGCGAGTCATTTTGTCGTTTGTCGAGCGGCTTGGAAAGCCCCATGGGCCATTATACACAGTGCTTTATTGACTGCGCACTTGCAACCCCAATGGCTCGCTTTGTTACGTGAGTTTCAAAAAGATCCGAGGCGTTCCGAATCTCAACAAATCCGGGCTGAGTCTTGACTGAATTGAGCATACCTGACTATGACTATTATGCCTATGACGAGCATACCTAGCTGATAATAGGTATCTTAAGCTCAGACATAGGCACGGGAACCGGGGGGGGGGGGGGGCAGTGGGAGCAGCTTGCCCCCCCACCCCCACCCCCAACTCTGATGCCGTGGGGGCGGTGCCCCCACAATTTTGAGACGGAATACCTACCGTAGGTTATTTTTGCAAATATTTTCTTTTTTGTGTAAAAGCCAAGGGATCAAAAATCAGTGACCTAAAAGTAAACTGGTGAGCAAACTAGGTATACCTAATTAGGGGTACCTTGGGTTGATCTCTATTATGGTGTGCCCCCCCCCCGGCCCCCCCCCACATACACACACTCTGAAAGTACCTAGTTCCTGCGCGCGCCCCTGGTCTCAGATCGTCTTTCTCACTCGGCATCTCCCCTCATTTAAATCATGATTTTAATTAAAATGGTTGATATCCCTCTCTCATTATTGGATATTAGAGCGAAAGAGCATAAGCCGACAACCTACAAGCAACCAAATCAACCTACCAAAATGAAAACAAAAATGAGTGACAAATAAACAACCAGATTTTTAAAACAATTCCCAAGCTCTAAGCTTTCCTCACCAACATATTTACCTAATTGACTGTTACCAAACCTATACCTACCTACCTAATAGGTAACAGGTAGGTACGACCTAATAAATGGAAGAATGTCGAACAAACAAGTGGAAACTGGAGGTCATACTTGATACTAATCAATCTACCTCCCAATTCTTAGAATCGAAAAAAAAAATTAAGAACCGGAGATAGCTGAAAATTAATTTTTCGGGCACGACACGTAAGCAGCTCTATTCATCGTGCTAACAAATTAAACCCCCAAATAATGCATCACTTGAACTAATCTACTATCATTATCGGTCGATCGTCGCGTTACAATATCCAAAGTGGTGTAATAGGTATCTGCACCGATACATCAGCTCAGTCCCGCCCCGCCCTGTTCGGGAGCGCCGTCCGGTCCCGGTGCCGGCCGCGTCTGTTGGTTGTTTCGGTCGCCGGGGCGGCGGCAGCCAGGCACCGGTCCGCAGCCAGAAGGAGCACCCCGCGGACCAGGCGCCGTCCCACTCCGCCGCCGTCCCGCCATGGAGCTGCCGGTGCTGCCGCTGCTGGCGCTGGCGCTGCCGGCGGGGGTGCTGGCCAGCTCCCAGTACCAGCTGGCTCTGGACGCTGGCGTGCCGTTCCCGCCCCACAACTACCATATGAGTTCGGCGCCGGCCAGCTCCTGGAGCCTGCCGCTCAGCCCGCTGCAAAACTTCACCACGTCCCAGTGTGAGTGACGTATGTATGTACGGATCAGGGAGTAGACAGTAGGGACTCCCAAGCAGGGCACCGGGCGGGGGATGGTGGTGTGAGGAGACCGAAGCGCATTATCTGGAGTAGCTGGAAATGGAAAACAGGCGGGTAAATGGTAGCGGGACGGTTTACGGCATTCAGTGAGAGCGTCGAGACGCCGAAAATCGAAATTACGTGAAATCGTTACAGCGATGCAGAAAGTATCGCTGTATGTCTGCCTCATTACGAGGAATGGGGCTGAAACTAAAAATAGGACTATATCGAGCCAAAATCAGCAATTCGTCTGCCTCAAAACTGCAAAAATTTCAATCTTAGGTCAATTAAGGTCAGGTCGCCAGGCCACATTACATGTGTTCGTCGTCCGTCCCTCTAAAAAGCGAAATGATGGTCAACCAAGCTAATTTGATTATTTCAAAGAATATTAAAAGCATTCAGCGATAGGCGAGGCGACTAAATCCATACAGCTTAGGTATATCTCAGCTTTTTAATATCGGTGGGTGACCTAAGGATCAGGTCAATTTTATTTCACCCTATTAGATATGCCAATGGAGAAAATAAAACTGCGCCTCCTTCGCAGGTGCGGCTTTTCCCACACACAAGCATCTTCAGAAAAGTTTATTTACAAAGTTTTACTGAATACCTACAAAATCTGAAAAGTGCACCTGCATGACCCTTCATTTTGCTCCGCATGGTCATTTCGGAGGGACGAAACACTTCGAGTGTGTTCATCACAACAAAATAGGTCTGCTGAAGCCCGTGAAGGCAGAAGAACATTTTCCGTGGTCCATCGCAGGCTATCCGGTCCGTTTTAGACCATTCGTGACTGACCAGTCCCTTTTAAGTCGACTTTAACTGTGGTTCGTTTAAGTCGACTGAAGGTGTGTTGTCTGGTTGGGTTGACTTAAACGGTTTCGTACGTTTAAGTCGACTATATAGTTGTTTTGTGTGGTCCGCTTACATGTGGTCCGTTATCCGTTTGGTCCGTTTATAACTGTGTTGTCCGCATACACTATAACTGTGGTCCGTTCTAGGACTTAGGTTGACCGTGACTGTGTGGTCCGTTTTCAGTTCATCCGTGATTGTTTGGTCCGTTCTCGGTTCATACTGTGTGGTCTGTTTTCAGACCATCCGTACCGATTGATTTGTCTCTTTTCCAGGTCAGTGCACTGTCCGGTGCCTGTCCGATCCGCTCTGCTTCAGTCTGAGTCACTCCCTGGAGGGCGAATGTCAACTATTCGCAGTCCGCGGCGCCCCGACTGACACAATTGACACCACTGACACTATTGACACTACCAGCATTACCGGGACTGATGGCCCCGACACCCAGCAGGTCGTCACTGACATCCTGACCGTCCGAATCCGAGACAAAATGGGTGAGTCCGAGCTGATTTCCGAACCGATTACGGATGCACGGCTCTCGCGAGATTAAAGGGACTATCCCACCTTTAACATGGGGTTTGAGTTGAGATAGCCAAGTTTGCGGCGAGGTTCAGAAACCACTATCTATCTAGGTTGCACCCCCCGCGGCCTCTTGGTGTTGAAGAAATTCGTTCCCTTCATTTGAAAATGGGCCTTGTACAAGGCCCTATCTTCAACATGGAGCGACCGTTAGTGTGACGTCACCTCGTTTAGTCATTCTGATTTAAATGGGTTTGTTCGTTGAAAAATCGCTTAAAACTTGGTCTGAACTTTGTTGTGGTGCCTACAGAGTAAAAAGAATCAGCTTTATGACAGTAATGTGGCCTGGGGAAGGAGGTAATTTTGGGCTGTGACGTCACATATTTGAAAGTTTGTGTTTGGAATATGGGAAGCCTAAGATGTTTAATGAAAAATAAATGCCAGAACCGTGTTCCTGGTCATCCAATCTATAAAATCGGGCACAATTTAAATGGTTTTAACAACATTTTAGAAGGTGGGATAGTCCCTTTAAGCGGTAGGTTTTGCACTTTTACATTTCCGGCTATATCTCAGAAACTAATCGATCTACGATGAAGCCATTTTGCACGATCATGGCCGGCTTGTGAACCAACAAGTCGATCGCATCTTCAACACTTAAAAGCTTAAGACGACAAAGATATAGCCTGAAGTATGTACACTAAATTTTCTAGGTGCAAAAACTACCGCTAAAACCCGCGAGACCTGTACCTTCAACACGAATGTAACGCATGTTGGTTGGGTCCGTGAGCAGCGGTCGTTCGTTAACGATTTCCTTGTTACGAGCGCTGTAGTTTGGTGGAGAAAACAGCTATTTACGAATCAGCGCGGAATAATGCATAGTCAGACACTGCCTCCGATAAATAAGCACGATAAATGAACCTAAGGAATGATAAATAATATAAACAATAAATGAATAAGTACGAAGCTGCAGTATCTACTTTCATACCTGACAGTATTCATTGTCATTACCGTTGAATAAAAGTAGTTAGGAGTTTCAATCAAAACAGGCAAGTGAGCATGCCTTATCACAACAGTCGGATCACTCTTTGTTATATAACTGACCGTCCACCTCGTGTGGTTGTTCACAGCGCGCCTGGGCGACTTCTGCTTCAGCTCGGAGGAGTGCCAGTTTGTGGTGGAGGGCTCAGAGTGTGTCGGCGGCCTGTGCCACTGTCCGACCGGCACCGCCCCCGACCCGGAGCTGGAGCCCACCGCCTGCCTGGTCCTGGCGGCTGCCGCCGGGACGAAGACCGCCAGTGGAACGGACTCGCAAACGACCACAGTCGACTCGACGACGGCCGACGCCGCGACTGGACAGACCGCGGTGGATGAGCCGCTCGTGGCCCAGGAACAGGGCACTGCTGAGCTAACTACTACCGACCAACCGACCACAACTAGCGAGACCAGCAGCGCAGCCACCACCACGACTGTACTGCCAACTACCACTGCACCGCCAGCGACAACTTCTGAACGGCCGACGACAACCACAACCGAGCCGCCAACAACCTCTGTGTCATCAACAACAACCGCCGGGCCGCCAACGACAACCACCGGGCCGCCAACGACAACCGCCGGGTCGCCAACGACAACCACCGGGCCGCCAACGACAACCGCCGGGTCGCCAACGACAACCGCCGGGTCGCAAACAACAACCGCCGGGTCGCCAACAACCACTGCGCCGCCAACAACCACTGCGCAGCCAACAACCACAACTGCACAGCTAACGACCACCGGGTCGCCAACAACAACAGCTGAACTGCTAACAACTACTACGCCGCCAACAACCAAGTCACCAACAACCACCAAGCCTCCAACAACCACCAAGTCACAAACAACCACCAAATCACCAGCAACCACTACTGAGTCACCAACGACCACTGCGCAGCCTACAACTACCACTGAACGGCTCGGCGTCAAATGAACCCCTTACAGCATAAGGGCTAGCGATCCATCTACGCATTTGCCGGAATAGCCAACGAATCGAATGCTGTTCGACCCAACCCTAACAGGTCTACCACAAGGGCGCCACAACAATGCTATACACGCTACTTATCACCAATATCTCGACAACCGCTGCTTCCACAACCAGCGTGGCGTCCACCACTTGACCACAGCAACCACGTCAGCAACCACCAAGTTAAGTGTTTAAAACGAGCAAACCACCAGGAAGCTGCCGCCGCCAGCCACTTCTAGTCATATAGTTCGCAGCAGATCTCTTACCCAGCGCTCACAATGACAATAGCAGGACTAGTTCCAACTCCGACCACTACACCACTACACTACTAGTTCAAGTGCTGGCGCCTGGCTGTGCTGTAGGTACAAGTCAGCCATTTGAACAGCCGAAAGTATGCGTTCTTGAACCTCGAGCAGCATTCATTCGCATAATTTTAGTCTCTCTTTTCCTTACAAATCTGCGAATGCCGCCCGCCAATTACGGCAACGGCGCGGCGCACGAAAACCTTCACCCTGACTTTGCCGATATTTGACCGGGGTCCTGTCCATGATACTACGGCCTACCCGGGCGAGGCGGTCCCGTCAACTGACTCGACCGAATGGGAGAGGAGCGTCATTTGTGGACGAGATTAACGATTACCGTCTACGGATGATATGAAAATGATAATGGACTAATAACGGTGAGGGCACTAGGAAGCTAGCAATGGGTTCCCCGGTTGCACACTGTCCAGCAACTCTTCAGTCTCATCCTCGTTGTTTTAAGAATCCAAAGTCTTATTGTATCGTCGCTACACCCAACAAGTATCTGGATGTGTGGTAGCTGTACCAGTAATATTAGATCAGTATCAGAGGTGTGTTATCTGTTTCGTCAATGCACTGCGCTTGTTTGTTTTAGTTAGTACAATGATCAGCTTAGGCGGATATTTTAGTAGCAATAAATAACGAAATATACAGCTTCTTCCTGATAAGAAGATATCATTCGTGTGTTACTCGTCATATGAACGTGCAAGAAATCTCAGATGAGAACAAACTGCCCTACGCACAGAACACACGTCGTAACATTCGCTTAACGCACCAAACGACCGGAACATCGGCTATCGCCATTTATTTCGCTCAGAAAGAGCCCCCATCCGTACACGAAGCGCCAGCCCAACAGCACTCAGCTCTGAATGGCCATACAACAGACACCGCTTGGCCACAGGCACCGGGGGTTCAGTCCTATCGGCCACAGCACATTAGACCAGTCCAGTATGTGGCTGAGACACCTGGGCTCAGTCTCGTCGACACACACACCGAAGGTCTGTATTGACACTAGCCACAAACACACCGGGTTCGCGGCAAAATCAGACAATATGAGGGTGTGTTCAATGTGTGGTAATAGATACTGGGACTTGTTCCGGCCAGCCGACAGGCACAGAACGCCAGTTCGGGACCACAGCGGGACATCGGTCTACTCAGTCACAGTCGCAGTACAGTCACAGTCACAGTCGGAGTTCACTCATAGTCACAGAGCGACAGCAAGTACTCCCCGACCGCCTCACTCAGTTCATCCATCGAGACATATCGTACTATGAATCACACAGCACAGTCCGGCTCAACTCATCGCACTATAGATCACACAGCACAGTTGAGTTCCGCTTAACTCATCGCACTATGGATCACACAGCACAGTTGAGTTCCGCTTAACTCATCGCACTTTGGATCACACAGTTTAATCGGCCCGACAAATCCAACCCTAAAACACGCAACTCAGGCTAGCTAAACTCATCGTACTCTTGAACTTACGCTGAGTTCGGTACAGCTTAACTCATCTCAGTAGATCTGCGCAGTTCAGTCCGATCAATTGACAATTCATCTCACTCCGTTCCGTAAGCATCTAGTCGATGCTTCTTTCGCAGTCTCTCTCAACTGAGTCGAACGCCAGGCCTAGGCCCGAGGAGCAGGCACCTCCTACCCTGTTCTGATGCGATTTTTGGACTAACAAGACCGGGTCCTGGCTCACCACGTCTATTGACGGTTCAGCTCATGAGGGGACGGGCCAATGTAGGTAACACAGCTGGTTTTTACCAGTTCAAAGCTGGTTTTTACCAGCTCATAGAACACAACGGCGGGTGCAGAAAACAATCAAAGAAAACATGGCCAAAACCGACACAGCGCCCCGCTTCTCCGGTGGAGTCACACACAGCACTGGTGACGTCACACAGACACATTGATGACGTCACTCACACTAAGCCGATGACATCTCACACAGCCGCAATGGTAATGTTCCGCATCGTCCGGCACAGCATGTGGTCGCCTGGTAAGTGAACTCCAGATTTGAGTGTGTGCGACCGGAGTTTCTGGCCACGGAGGCCACTTGAGCGGTATCAACAGGTTGAGGAGGATCTCAACAGTTTAAACCTGCAACGGAGAACAACGAGTGAAAAAGTACTTATTCAGAAGCAATGAAACAGTGGATGAAAGGCGGTCAGTTAGCTAGGCAATGTCCGATCAGCTTGAAAAACTACACAAAGAAATGACGTTCTCTGTAATTCGATTATCTTAATCCCAAAAGCACATAGGACTTCGTTGTTCGTCTTTAAGTATGATTATCACGCACAAAATTTCACGCTAAGCTGCAATGAATATAATTGTGCATTTGGTATCTGTTAATTTTTTTCTGAGATGATGGCGTCAGGGATCGGTACCTCAAAAAGGAAATGTTAGCTATGTTTCAGGTAAAAGAGATGAAATATTCCCACCATTAAAATCCATATTTTCTTTAAAATTGTCGAAAATTGTTGGCTCGGACAAAGGTGATTGTCATTAATGACATATATTGCAGTCCTCCAGAATGAAAACAATACAAAGATCTTGATGAATTAACACGAGGTAGAAGTGACACAGCGAAATGCTAGTTAAAAACATACATCAAAAAGTGTGACGGCAGCAGAAGCTTATGACCGCTGTTAACCCAGACAGCATAGGAAACCACTAGCGTTATAGCGAACTAATTGCCAGACGATAAATCGCCAGATGTGATTTCTTTGAATCAATATCGAGCATGGCCATGAGCATAAACTAGATCATACCACCACTGAAGCCAGCGCCGCATTCATAAATCGTAAACCGACCCAATTATTAGTGACCATTATTCCGTGATTACTGATTAGTCATTCATTCTGTTTGCGATCGTACTTTGCCATTAGGGACCCTGTTTTTGTTTAATTTCGTTGGAATATTGGAACGTATGACCGTCAAATGCACTGCAGTAAGATACAGCCAGCTGACGTATAGCCGACTACAGAATGATGTTCCACTTTTCACAGGCAATTATTTGCCTGAAGTGGTAGGCTGTGCCGCATCACACGGGCTGAGTTCACAAATTATAACTTTGTCCCAAGGCTCACAATCGAAACGTTAATTGCGTGATAAACGGCACAGCTTAGCGCTCCGGTCATCTGATAGCTTCTGAGGGAGGAGTGGAACATCATTTTGTAGTCGACTATACAGCAAACTGGCTCGGGTAGGGGAGAGTGGGATAATTTGGCCGGTGGTGTAAATTGGCCGCCCCCACCTGTACGATGTCTAATAAAAGTGAGTGAAATAGCTCTAGTCTCTATTCATTTGTCATGGGTAGGAATAACTGGAGGACAAATGTCAAAACTTTGCCCCTCGTAGTTTTATTCAAAATTAATAAAACGTTAATTTCATTAGAAAATGGTAACTTTTGCTTCTATTTACAAAGTTGTATAACATGTAGTATTTGGGCTAAAAACGAATTCAGACATTATAGCGCCATTCTTGGGGGTGTTCAGCGGTTCCAAGAGCAATTTCATCTAATTCCGTATAGCCGTGATGACCTAATAGACAAAAAATTCCGAGTGGCAATATGGGGTAATTTGGCCGGGACTAGCGGGGCAACTTGGCCGGTGCGCTCATGGTCACTATGCTGGGACGGCCGAGTTTTCATGGTCAATTGTACCATAAATGACATGATTCATGACCAACTTTGACTACTTTGATGCCTTACTTCCGACTGGTCAACTGTAAGAGCATGTGACGTCATCAAAAATTACCAAACGTTTTTTTGCTAATAATCCTTACATAAAAAGGGTACAGCCGCACAAATGGCCTCATTCTGTTCAGCTCGCCAAGGCGCATCGAATGATATGCATGATGACCTTGAAATCACGTGACCTTGAGGTCAAGCGACCTGAGGTAACGTGACCTGAGGTCAACCTTCGACCTTGACTTCTCGAGTTCAATACATATATGTTTCGATGCGCTGACGAGAGAATTACGGTGGTACTCGAAGTTTTGGCCTAACTTGATTACTTCAAAAGTTATTCGTAAAAAACTGTCTTCGCATCTAGAGCCGCTAATTTGGCTATTTTGACCCCTGTGACCCCTGAGTCAACCTCCAAAATGCGGCAAAATGCGTCATAGGACACACGTCAATGCTGAATCTGAAGCTGACTCGCAATATAACAGAAAATCCCGACCGCAAACTAACACCGGCCAAATTGCCCCACACCCCCGGCCAAATAACCCTGCTAGTGGGGTAATTTGGCCGCCTTGCAGACCTTTGTAATACGTCACAATTTCAATATAAGTAATTACTCTATCATTTCAAGTTCACTGTACAGTCTGTCTTAAAAGTACCGCGCAAAGTGACGGTGGATCCATCAAGCCTGACCGATGAAGGACTGCCAAATTTGAGTCACCGAAGCAATGGACATCCTCGTCCATTCCCCAGCTCCATTGGTTCGGTGACTTTCAAATTTTAGCAGGCCCTTCCTCGGTCAGGCTTGATGGATCCACCGTCACTTTGCGCGGTACTTTTAAGACAGACTGTACAGCAGACATGTGCATGGATCCGAGTGATGGATCTATGATCTCAGTGGATCTCGAAGCAAAGTACAGGTTGGGATCTATGATCCCACCGGATCCGGCGTGAAAAATACATCTTTGATCTATAATCTCATATGATCTGACGATAAATTAAGAACATGGATCTATGATCTGAGTGGATCCCACCAGGCACCACATTTGAAACCATGTTTTAAAGGGTTTATACGCCAATAACTGACACAGAACTATGCATTATGACGTGCGATCGCATAAAATCACTAAAACAGAACGTTTGTGAGTTGAAACAAGTGCTTTTTTGGGGATATATGCGTTGGCAAAAAATAAGTGAGGATCCATGATCTCACTGGATCTCAAGCAAAAAATTAGACTCGGATCTGTGATCCCTACGGATCTCTCGATAAATTACAGAGCTGGATCTATGATCCCGTCGGATCCGAGATCAGGATCCGTGGGATCAGATCCCAGATCCATTTTCTCGGATCCATAGGTACACATGTCTGCTGTCCAGCAAAGTAAAATGAATGCGACACCTACCAGCGTTGAGAATATGCAGAAATGTGTCGTAAATTTTAAGTTACATCGTTTTCTAAAAAAAAAAACGGCCAAATTATCCCAACCTCCCCTACCTTTTTCTCAATCGAATATTGGTTACAGGTATCGCACAACAGCCAACTTTACAAACATAACTTAAAGGTAGTGTGCCACCTTTGAAAGATTTCCCATTTTATTTTTCCTAGGATAAGAAGCTTCTGTTTTTACCTAATATCGCAAAAAAAATCAAAAATGGGCCTGGAATAGTGCCTTTTTCTCCTAAAAGTTTATCGGTTTTTAGATATGTATAACAACTGTAGTGGGCTCACCTGCAAACAGGCGTCGGGCAACAATCGCGAATGCGGCGCACTTGTGACAATAAGCAAAGGTCATTATAGTGTTACGACCATACGACGTACGGGAATGAGTTATCAGCTGTCTAATCGTAGACAACACAATGTCGAGCCTTAAACTGTAAGCCCGTATTGGTACTGTTTCTTTTATTTGGCTGTCGAACATTATTTATGGTTTGAAATATGATTTTATGTAAAATAATTGATATGAAAAAGCCGTCTTATAAGTTATGACCCCATTTCACCACACGCAAGTGGCAGAAATGACAATGATCAGCTGACGCATTTTTATTGGCCGAAGTCAGAGCGCGCGGCCCGACGCACCACGCGTATTTGGAAATTCCGACCTCGACGAGCATCAGAAGCCACCTAACAGGCGTGTTCGAAACCGCAGGAGATGATGATGAACGGGTTTATCGAAACTTGATTGGATGAGCATATCGGTAATAGCGATTTCAGTGTGTGCATTTATTGTTCATAGTGGTGTGAAATGTGGTTGGGGTACGACCGACAACCCGTCGGGGCGAATTTCGCACTGGGGTACTCAAAATTTGAAGAATTTAAGACGTTTCCATGAGTTTTGAAGGTATGGATAAGTTCTAAAAATCCGGTTATCCTTATCTGGGCCATTAACTCCATACGGTCCAAGAAAGCTGGCACACTACTTTTAAGGAAATACTTTTTATGTGACGACACCGGATTTCCACAGTAGCGTAGAGCCAAAAACATCAGCACTTATTATACAATACATATCCATTGTTTTGTTCGATAATGGTTTCGCAGAAAGTGCTATTTCTATCAAGCTTCGAACAATTCCCCTTTCCTCAAACTCAGGCTTATTAAAGAAAAAAAGAACGGTCTAAAAACGACACCTATATGATTTAGCATGACACAGTAAAGGATAACAAAACAAAATATATCAAAGTAAATAAAGCATAAATGTATGCCTATCAATTTGAAAATGGTTCAATGACTCAGTGTCCATTAAATCCGGGAGGCAAGCGTCACTTTTGTGATATAGGGTCGCTTTGATATCACATACCGTTGCAGTCGTAACATCTGATTGGTCGTTGTGCCCTGCGGCGCAGTGACATCGGGCCATATCCATCATCGTTCAGCTGCCTGCCCCCCCCCCTCTGGCTCAGACTCCCCCCCCCCCTGTGGGCGTCTGAGCACTGCAAGGACACTGCCAGTACCACAGCGGCCTCATAGGTCCGGGCCGAACTGTGATAGGCTGTGCTGTCAGCTAACAAAGGCGGCGGCCCGGGCGGACAACACAACACAGCTCGGACAATTAGCCATTGACAGTTGGCGGCCATTGCGACTCTGCTGGTGGCACTGAGGCCGCTTTGACCGTTTACCGTCCATTATAGTAATAGGCGTGCAGCGGACAAAGGATTGGCCAAATGCTATGAATGCATATTGGCTATTGCTTATGAAAGCGACTTTCGGGCTTGATGTCAAGGCACGAAAGCTACACCACGTCTGTGAATTTCGCACAGTATGCTAATGAAAGCCGGCTTGCAGCATACTGCCAGCACGGAATATATAGTCTACGTAGAGTATATACTCCGTGCTGCCAGCATTCATGACATTCATAAGGTAAGCGTCACGGTTCAAATCCAAACAGATAGGTATCGTAACTTAAATACCAATGTGCTAGTCCATGTGCGCATATGGTCTCTAACTAAGTTGCGATAGCCCCAAATTGTGATAACTGTGATCTTAAATCACATGCTGCCGGGGAGAGTTTCACATAATCTTCATCACTTCAATTGCAGTTGGCTGCGCCTGTCCGGTATCAACAAAGGACCCACGATCCGCGCGTGTCCAATCAAAAATCAAATTATGGATTTAGAGACATAATAATCGCTGTGCAGAGTAAAAACAAGACAATGAAATTGACGCAGGCAGGTGTTATCGTGATGAGCCCTGTTCTTGTTATCATTATGTCCAGGACCACTGAGTCTAAACAGACCGGCTAGGCAATTAGTCGGCATATGAACAGAAATAATAAGATTGCAAATTACACAGGTGGATGAAAAATACCCATAAATACCTATAATATAGGTGAATTACGAGAAGCCTATATAGTGATATAAGTGAAATATAGCGGTCTATGATTCCATTAACAAATGGCAGATTCAAATAAGCCTAGGTTGTCTCTTTTACTTAGCAAAATAAAATAATTAAGCACCATACAAATCTCTCGCATCTCTTTTTATATCTTTGGCAGCTGTTGCTCTCTCAGCAGCAAGAGACGGGCACCTACCTGTAATAGCAGGAAACACTGACAGCAATGACCAGCTTTGAGGCGTCGGACCGTATGATAGACCGTATGACAGACCATAGGTACTGCACAATGCATACAGATGCCAGCACAAAGAACGCCCACGACCAAGACGAGCAGCGAGCGGCCGTCGGACGTTGTCGGACCTACCTATAGAATTTGTCAGGCCAGGCGACACGCAGACGGCACCTGGCCTGCGTGGTGCCGTCTGGGTAGCGCCGGGCGACCATCAGGGGTAAACATCGATTGTGAATACAGCCACACAAATAACCCGTTACCCGTTACTCCTACTCCTACCCTTAACCCGTGATAGTGAATACGGCCACAGAGGCTGGACAGGAGACGGCAAAAGGCCAGCGTGGCCGGGATATTCACCAGACCTACCTATAAACGTCAGCACGCGACGGGCAGAGGCGGGCTCAGAGCGCCATCTTCCGTCCCTCTATGCTGATCTGAACGGCGCGCTGCATCTTGGCTCGCCGCTCTCGCTCCTTGAAGGCGCGCTGATGTCGCTCCAGGCGGGTCACCTCCTTCTTTGTCACCTGTTTTCAGAAGAGGAGAGGAGAGCGTCAGACAAAGAGAGTGGGGGGGGGGGGGCGCCCGGACTACAGTGGTCATCGGCGACAAAGAGAGTGGATGAGGATACAGTGCATACGTAGACGGTGCTTAGGCTGTGAGTCAAGGGAGGACCTCGAACATAGAGACGGCGAAAGACAAAAAGAGGCCGGGCCGGAGACACAGTGAGGTGCGTAACACCTACCTGTGGGATACAGGGGGTCCTGTGGGATACAGGGGGTCTGTGAGGCACAGGAAAAGAGGCGCATGATACAGGATGTACAGACGGACCTGCCATACCACGCACAATTCACAGCGTGGTCAAGCTGTCTCCCCTTGTCCCTTCTGCAGCAAGCAATTGCCGATCAGCCTCTTTGACATGCTCAGTAGTTAGTTCAGCCCGTTAAACAGACCACAAAGCTTTAATTCCAACATCGTCTACCACAAAATCATCGATTGAATCGATTGAATTAGGTTGAATCACTCAGAACTTAATACAGGAAACGGTAGACTTAGCGAATGACTCACCGGCGCACACTCTCCGGTGTTGGTCCATTTGGGTCGGTTGACGTAGTCTTTGTCGGACATCCTGGGCACTCGGGCGCGACCCACCCAGCCGGGATCGCCCGGTCTCAGTACCCTGAAAACGGTCAGGTCGGGTCAGAGCAGGTTGGGTCGGGGCAGGGAAAGTTAGACCAAGGCAGGGCAGGTCGAGTCAAGGTCGGTTGATCCGGGTATCGCTGGATTGTACAATCTGCGGTGGAGAAAAAAAAACACACACAAACACATCCCATCCCAATAAAGAAAAGAACGAAACAATCCCGCATGCACATGGAAACAAAGAAGCACACATACACACGAAGCACAGCTGGTGCCGTTGCGGTTATACGACTCACTTTTCCTCGAGCTGTTTGGGATCGCGGTCCTCCCGGGGCCGCTTGCTGCTCTGTTCCATGTCTCGCTGCTGCCGCTCCTCCTTGGACATGGCTGCGGGAATAGAACAGACAGAGGGGTCAGAGAAGGGATAACTGCAGGGTCTGATAGCCGCTCCTCGTTGGACATGACTGTGGGAACGGGATCGAGGCAGGTCAGCGGGACAACTGTAGGAGCCGACAGCTGTGCAAGAGCCACAGAGATGGCCTCAGAGCTCAGGTCAAGCACATGTTTCCACATCATCAAACAACGGCTGTTACGTAGTATGAGAAAATCGTACGACGCATTAAAACATACATAAGCGTATCGAAAAAGTACCACAGAAAATAGAGATATTACGCTATCTCATGATAAGCGAGAAAAATGGATTATCATGGCGTCAACTACCAGCAAAATGAATGACAAAATATAGTTTTTGAAAATGATTTGACAACTGCATCGCTCCCACTAGAATCAGACCTAAAACATGACAAGCATAATACCCCTGGAATGAAAGCAAAAGCTAATGATGAGACACTAGGATACGCTACTCACCTGTGAAGTCTGTAGTGAGGTTGAAGATGGGCCGGGACCAGGTGCTGATCAGCTTGCCGGCCAGCGTGCGGTTCTCCTTGGTCTCACGCGGGTGCTTGTAGAGGTACATCACCGCCTTGCCGATGCCCGAGGACTTGAGCAGCTGTTGGTCCGGCATAGGGAACTGGTGGTGCGGAGACGCCGGGGTCAGGGCGGTCAGGTTGGCAGGGAAGACAGTGGTATGAGAGGGTAACATGCTTCGAAAGACACAGACTTTCATTTCAGCGACACCCGACATTCAGTTACTAGCGTCACCTGGCATTGATGATTGAAGTATTACTGCAAACACTGCCACCTCTCTAATTTCCTCTCGATGTTGTTTAGCTGCAGGAGGAGACCCTCCTAGCCCTTTCCACAGCTGTCCTTTGTCCCATACAATCTTTCTCGAACGGTTTCCATCCACCCCACTCCTCCTCCCTCTCTAGCTGTCCGTCCTAGCCTCATCCAGCCGCCGCTGTCCTACCCAGCCCTCCTAGGTGTTGCTCGTCTGGCACGGAGCCACCATAGCCATACATCTCCCACTGAATTTCACCGCCTAATGCTGAGCCCCGCCCATGCCACTCAGATCCCCTACAATCAGACAAATTCATCCCATCTCACATTCCCCACCCAGTCCAAAGCTCTCAATCCCCAGTCCTCTCTCACCGTCTGTAGCAGGCTGAGCACCTGCTCCCTGATCTTCAGACTGGGCAGCGAGCGGTCCGGCATCGGCGCCAACCAGTCCGTCAGCACCGAGAGCACGTTCGACTCGAGGAAGGCCAGTTGAAGATCCTGCTTACCCAGCTGAGACATGGCCGTCTTCAGCATAGATATTTTACGGGTGGCTGGTTTACGGTTCTGGTTAAGCTCACGATCGTCCTGGGGTTGTGGAGGGGAGGTGTGGTGTCAGCGTTGGGAGATGCGCTAGGGTAGCACTGCAAAACAATGGAGGTGGAGCAAATGAAGACAGGTATACACAAACATTGCCAGAGGACAACAACAAGTATCGCAGAGCATCGGCATTGAACAAAGCGCTCCAGTCGTGAACGTCCACGAGACATTTCAAGTCAAAAAAGAAAAGTAATGCAATCGGTCTATCTAGATATTTAAATCACGATTACTATATTATAGCCACTATCACAAATAATCTCATGTCTCCCTTATCCCTACCCCTCACAGCAGCTGCAGTGCTGCATCCATCCACCATACCCACCAACCAGCTCACCTCTGCCGCTTCCCGCATCTGACGAATCAACTGCATAATCAAATCATCATTGTCGTTGATGATGTCGATATTCTTGCGTTTGCGGCGTCGCGAGTTTTCGTTCTTTTTGCGCATGCGCATCAGCTCGAAGTCGGACATGCCGGTGTTTTCAGTCTCTCCATCAGCGGCTGTGATTCCCTCGTCCGAGTCGGAGTCGGAGGGAGGCGGAGCGGCCGCCGCCGGCTGGTGGCAGAGGGCTCGAGTCAGATACAGCTGGCATTTGGCATTCGCAGCTTGGACATCTATCAGCACAAGGTGGACTCAAATACTGAATCAATGTTACTGACAAATGATTGAGAAAACACCAAGAGGAATTAGCAAAACAGTTAACAAATAACGGATAGTCAGTGGCGTCGACCATCGTGACGACGCGTCTTTCATTTCCCGACTTTTCTAGGTCGACCCACGACCACAAACAACAAAAGACCACCCGGAAAAGTTACAGAGCTGCAGACCTCTATTCCTCAGGCTGACTCACCTTTTCCTTGTCTCCGTCCTCGGCGTCGGCCTTGTCTCCGTCTCCGGCGGTCTCCTTGTCTCCCTCTCCCTCGTCTCCGGAGGCGGCGCCTCCCTCCTTCGCGCCGCCTCCTCCCTCTCCGTCACTTCCCTCACTGTCGGACATGATTCGTCGCTTTCGCTTCCGTCCGGCAGTCTCAGTGTCGGAGCCGGCGTCGGAGCCTACCTTCTTCTTGGCGCCCTGCGAGGAGCGGAAAAAGGCAGAGTAGTGAATACCAATCGGTGAATCGGCGTGAAAGTAACCACCAGTTACTCCCCCTCGCAGCAGCCACGGGGGAAGCTCATAGAACACCGCTACGTGTTGGCTGCATAAAACGGAAAATGATGCGGGGGAAATTAGCTTCGCAGCCACTGTTCATGAAATAACTGCTCACGGCCCCTTCAGCTTTCGACTAGCTCCCGAAGAAAGCAGAACTCAGACCTGATGTTAAAAATAAACTGTGGACCGAGAAAAAGGGACAGAAATGCGAATGTTTAATGAAATGTAAGGCATTCATGCCCGTCGGGAACATCTAAGAATTAAAACATTGAAAGCATAAGCATCCGGTCAAATGTAAGAAGGATCTGGGGAGCAAACTACGGACAATTAGTCCAGAAATGCAGCTGACTGCAATGGAAGCCCACTGACCGTTTCGCCGTCGGAGTCGGAGCCACTGCCGGCGCGGCTTCTCTCGTCGTCGCTGTCCACCACCGACTTTCGCTCCTCGTCTCCTGACGCCCGGCTGCCGCTCCTGCTCCTGCTGCCGCTGCGACTGCGACTGCGGCTCTTGCTGCGGCTGCCGCTGCGACTCCTACTGCGACTCCGGCTGCCGCTGCTGCTCCTGCTGCCGCTCCTACTGCGGCTTCTGCTGCGACTGCCGCTGCCACTGCGACTGCGACTGCCGCTGCGACTGCCGCTGCGACTTCTGGCACTGCCGCGGCTCTTCGGCCGGCTGCCGCTGCGGCTGCGACTGCGGCTGGCGGCGCTGCCTGCCGCACTGCGGCTGCGACTGCGACTGCCGCTCTTGCTGCGGCTTCGTCCACGACTGCCACTGCGGCTCCGGCTTCGGCTCCCTGCCGCACTGGCACTTCGGCTGCGGCTACGGCTCTTACTGCGACTCTTACTGCGACTCTTACTGCGGCTCTTACTACGACTCTTGCTGCGACTCTTACTGCGACTCTTACTGCGACTCTTGCTGCGACTCTTGCTGCGACTCTTGCTGCGACTTTTGCTGCGACTCTTGCTGCGACTCTTGCTGCGACTCTTGCTGCGGCTCTTGCTACGACTTTGGCTTCGACTCTTGCTTCGACTCTTGCTGCGGCTGTTCCTGCTCTTACCAGATGCGGCAGAGTTGGCGGAGCCGCTCCTGCCAAACAGGAGCACACACAAGGTCAACCGACTGACCAAGAGACAACAATCACACAACATTGTGATAATACCGGTGTCATGTGCTGTTGATGTCTGTACAACGAAAAAAGCTAGATTTTATCAGCCAAATAAATAACATTCGTCACTCGTCAGACATACTTCAACAGCTTTGAATGTATCTTAGCACTTCCCAGGCTGATTAGGTTCTACTGTTTCGAGGGTATGTTCCTTCTACCATTTCTAGTAGCATCGGTCCATTTCCTTCTCCATCATCCAAGGCACAGTGAGCATCGAGTAGCTGCTCAGTGGCTGGTTGTCCCGCTCCCCCTTCCACAGACCTGGAGCGGGCGCCGGCGGCCGACCGGCGGCTGCCCACCGATCGGGCCGAGCCGACCGACATACGGTCATCCTCCTGTTCCCCGGCCGGCTCCTTCGTCCCGGCCGGGGCCTCCTCCTCCCCCTGGGACGGCATCTCCTCGTCGGAGGGCGCGAACGCCTCGTCGCCGCTGTCGCCGCCCGCGTCACCGCCGCCGCCGCCGCGGGCCGGGCTGCCCGCCTCGCTGCCCGACCGGCTGCCAGCGTTACTGCCCGAGCGGCTGCCGGCGTTACTGCCGGCGGCACTCGCGGCACTGCCAGGTCTGGAAGACAAAAGTGCTTAAGTGCAGTCAATTGGTGGATATATAGATGCTCCGGTACTTATAAGCATATTGGATGTATGTTAAAAAATAAGAAGCAGAACACTTGTGATAAGTGCAGAAATTTTTAGCAACACAAGCAATGTTGCAAAAATAATGAGGGATGCCGGATGAGTTCACAAGAAATGCACCAACACATCATAAACCCCATACAGTTTCAAAACTCTGTCATGATTACCCAAAAATTACTACAAAAAGGAACAGAGCAAGAGATATATATGTCAGTTTGCGTGAGTTTTGGAAAACTAATTTTCAGTTTTGTTCCCAGGAAAAAATATTGACTTATAACATGGCCTGACAGATTCTGAGGTCATTGTGGCACCACATGTCTTTGGAAGTTGTTTTGATAAAATACAGAAGCTAAAAATTTGGGTAATGGTAGAGCAGATGTCACACAAAGGTTTTGCAACCAAGGAAAGGCGCTATACCCAGAGATGCTTCTTTCTAACCAAACCAAAACACACTCAACCTAACCTGACCTAACCTAAGCTACAACCCACAACCAGAAAACTTGCAACCTTCAAGCTACAAACATATAACCTAAAAACCTACAACACCTCTTCTTGCTTGGAAAACCTTTGTGTGACATCTGCTCTACTAATGCCAAAATTTAGAGTACCTATCTCAGAAGCCAGAATATTGATGGTTCCCAGCAAGATCATCCAAGTGCTCTTTTCATAGTTTTATAGCTGTAAAAACTTCTGGATTGTCTGTGAAACAGATCAATCAGGGCACTTTTGTGCTTATTATCTCAGCACAGGAAGCAGCTAGTGGCATGGGACTTCTTGCTTACTCTTTGAGCTGATTTGTCTGGAAAAAATATCAATTTTCAATAAATAAGAAATTGAGAATGCTCTTGCTCCAAACCCTTGATAAAGGCATTTCAATTTCCTAGGAAATATAAAATATTTTGAACCTGTTGATCAAAAAATATCCTTTACTTATGATGCTTGGGTTGGAGTGCAGTAGGTATAGGCTCAACATACCTGTTTTCTTCCTCACTGTCAGAGGCTGACTGCTCACCACTGCTTCGCCGGCCCTCAGACATGGTGACTGCAATCAAGGAAACACAGGAAGTCAGAAACCTTGCTTCACAATTTACTGTCTGGCCATGCCGCACTGCATTTTATAAACAAAGAAACATCCCCCTTCTCCTTGGGTCAGCCATCACACTTCAGGCGATATTGAAACCAGCGCCTTTAGACAAAAATACAAGCATGTAAGACAGCAGATATTCAATTGAACTTCATACTTTGTATAATTTATACATAATTAATGCCAAGATTTTGATTAAATCCTAATCATAATCAAATTCATAAAAATACCTTAAATAAATGCACAAAACAGTCTTACTGTTTACAACAACCCAAATATGTAAGATCCAATGAACATCATAGGAAATCGAATTAGCATTACTGATAAAACAACAAATGAAGATGAGGATTGCTTTGGAATTATTTTGATTTCAGCAGCAGCACAGCTGCGCAGGCTGCGCATGGTGATGATAAACTGAAACAGGTGGGCAGCATGGCAGCATTACACTGTAATTGACTGAACCGATTGGCTTGTGATCCCAAGATTAAGCTTTAAAGCATATTTTCATAAAACAATGGCGAATGAATTTCCTCCACTTAACCTTTTTTTGGAAATCCGGCAAGAAAATCACACAAATTACACAACAGCCGCGCGCGCACCCGTCCAAAAAATTCTCAGAAAGATCTGTTCTGCGCCAGGATTGTACTATAGCTGTGCTTCCAAATTGCTTCCACATCGCAATTCGTAAAGGAACTTTTTCGTCGTCTTATTTGGGCCGTGGTAATACTTAGGTATGCTTACTTACTTATAATCGCGGAAGTTAGAAAGGCCACTTGGCCTCTGGGATCCGGACTTGTCGAGCTGTTTGTCTGTATTGTGTGTGATGTTTCAGTCTTATGGGTGAGTCATGTGCATGAAGCGTGCCCAGTGGGCAGTGACTGTCGAGCCTGGCCTTGAATGCAGTGGTTTCCGCATGCGATAGGATGAGCGATAAACGATAAACGGTAATTATCGCTGTTAAGTAAATCGGTTATCGTTATTGTTTATCGCTAAATTTTCAAAATAATCGCTCATCCACTTATCGCAAGTTACAAAAATTATGAATGATAAACGATAAAATGTAAAACGGGATGATGAAAAATGGAAGAGGATCGACAGTGTAGGCCCCGCGACAGTATGTGTGCGCAACCTGTTGCCATCTAAGTGTATAGATCTGCAAATAAACTTCAAGTACACTTATTTAAGCTGTATTTCTTATCACTTTTGTTATCGCTGTTAAAAAACAATTATCGTTATCGTTGTATCGTTTATCGTTTGTTATCGCTGTTAACAAAACAATTGCCGTTATCGTTTTATCGTTTTATCGCTATCGCTGTTAATTTTTTGCAAATTTTTATCGTTTATCGTTTATCGTTATCGCAAACCTTACTTATCGTTTATCGTTATCGCAGGTCTGAAAATTAGTTATCGCGGAAAGCACTGCTTAAATGAGTCGACTGAATTAGGCGCATCAACAACAGTCGATGGCAGCGAATTCCAGTCGTTCACGACTCTCACGCTGAACGCGTTTCGTCTGACTCTGGAGTTGGTCCTGGACTTGGAAAGCTTCCATGTGTGTCCACGGGTCCGGGACGTCGCTGCTCGCGTAAAGAACTTGGACGCGTCAACGTCAACTCCCCCGTGGAGCACTTGGTAGATCGACGTCATTAAGCATTGGTCATCACTGTACACTAAAAAATAATCACATTATTTCAAAAGAAAAACAGTAAGGCTGTAGTTCACAGGGAAACATGCAACGACTTCAAGCGTTGGTAATTTATTATTGTTACATTTTCTCCATGTGGCCTAGTGGATACAGGATACTGGATAGTGGATAAGGTTGTCTCCTAGCTTGGTCGCACTCAGCTCGCAGCCGGCGAAGCTCCACGTCGTTTGACTCGCGATTCTATATTCACTCAGCTGGCAATCGGCCCGAGAGGGCCACGCTGGACCGGGGAGGACCGTGTCGCCACCGAACTGTGACACGCAGAATTTCCGATATTCAGATTATCACCGTGGCTAAGGTCTGGTGGTACGTGGCGTGGTATCATTCGCAACAAATATCGTTTAGCATGGCGCCCAGGCCCGAAAGCCACCCATCCAGCGGCGTATTTAGAAAATCGCGAAGGGGGGGGGCCAAGGGTTTGGAGGGCGCCACCTCACCCAAGGAGGGCGCCATACGGTCGCGAGATAAAAAATCGCTCAGTGGGGGTTGGGGGGTTGGGAGGCGTTTTTTACCATGCCACCAGTTTTTTTTTTTTGCGTAACCTCGTATAGGTCGTGCTGCATTGATTTTGCATCGTGTGTATTCTTTATACTCCAGGTCACAAAAGGTCAAGTGTTCTTGAAATGCTGCGCCGAAGGCGCGCGAAATTTTTGAAAACAACCTTTTCCTCCGCTTTTTAGGCACGCCTTTTATACGATCACTGTTCAAAGCTCCTCTCGCTCTTGTACCAAATTTGAAGGTGTAAAAAATACCTAAGGTTTGGTCGGGCCGCTGCCACACAAACTGTACAGAAAGCTTGGCTCATGGGTGTCGATGTATAAAAGTTTATTGGCGGTGGCATATCTACGCACCAGATCACCGTATCGGATTGATACCGGAGCGCGAGATGCGTAAACATCATCCAAATTACCTCAGACCAGCCTTCATAGCCTTCTCACAGATGCATACAGTGTACCCACATAACCAGTTTCAATCACCGAAACTTCAGATGCCTGCTGTTGCGCCCGAACCTGTTGACAATACTTAATCGTAATCCATATAGATGCCATGATGCACGTAAAGTAGGATCAATCCGTTAAGACCAAAGACGTGTTTTATGCATCGTAGAGCGTAGATAGTTTTGGTAGGTATAGATACTTCATTCATTGTGCTGAATGCACGTTCATTTGTGGCAGTTTTCACAGGCAAGACATCAACTATGTGCAATAGAACGACTAAGTTGAAAAACATGCCAAAGGAGTAAATAAATGGTAGGAGGGCAGCGATCAACGGATGTTGCCAATAGGTAGAAGGGCTGCGATCCACAGGAGGGCACTAATAGGTAGAAGAGCCCCGATCAACATCCCGAGTTTCGACAGTAGGGCACCGATAGGTAGGAAGTTGGCGAGCAGCAGGAGGGCGCCAATGGATAGAAGGGCAGCGATCAACAGGAGGGCACCAATAGGTAGGAGGGCGCCGATCAACAATCAACAGGAGGGCGCCACCAGGTAAGAGGGTGGCGAGGAACAGGAGAGCACCAATAGGAGGGTGGCGATCAACAAGAGGTCGCCAATAGGTGGGAGGGCGGTCATCAACTGGAAGTCGCCAATGAGCGGAAGGGTGACGATTAAAATGGGGGTGACAATGGTGAGGAGGGCGCCTTTGCTCAAGAGGATGACACGAACAGGAGGGCGTCTGTGCGGAGGGCGCTGGTCAACAGGAAGGTGCCAGTGGATAGGAGGGCGGTGATCAACAGGAGGGTGCCAGTGGTTAGGAGGGCGGCGATCTACACGAGGGCGCCAATAGGAGAAGGGCCCCGATTAACATTCAACAGGAAGGACTAGGGAACCAATAGGTAGGAGGGCGGCACTGAACAAGAGGGTGCCAAAAGGGAGAAAGGCGGCCTTCAAAATTTCACATGAGGGCTCAATAGGTAGGAGAGCGCCAATAATTATGAGGACGCCGATCAGCAGAAGGGCGGCAATGTGTAGCAGGGTGGCGACCTACAGGAGGGCGCCTTCGGGTGAGAGGGCGCTTATTTACAGGACAGCGGCTTACATAGGCGACCACCGTTACGCTTAGAGAGCTACAGCCTACAAATGTGGTTGGAGGGCGCCCGAGGGAGCCCTCCAACCGTATTTGGAGGGCGTATTTGGAATGGGCGTCCTCCGAGGGCGCCCTCCATCCGTATTTTCCCTGTAAACACATTCGCGATTGGAGGGCGCCCTCCAGTCGCGATTGTTTTTCGATTCGATTATATCACAATCGCAAAGGGCGCCTTCGGCGCCCAAGGGGGGGGGGGCCATGGCCCAGTGGGCCCCCCCCTGCCTACGCCCCTGCACCCATCCATCCGTTCGGACCAAATTTAAAAAAAGTAATTAGACGGAGACCATTAACATAAGTAGGTACTAAGCACATAGTTACATAGGCATGAAATACCTATGTCAATTCAAGTGACCCACAGTTCACCACAAAGGTACCCGGCAGCTCAGCAGTTTGGTTCACCGTTTGTTCCATGGCCATTGACCGTTGAGCACCACCTTTTAACCGTTCGGTTCAGTCCGTCTGGTCCTCATTTGGTACATACACCGTCTTGTTCATCGGCCACCGTCTGGTCCAGTCTGGTCAGTCTGCTCCGTTCGGTCCTTCTGGTCCAGCCTGGTTCAGTCTGGTCCTTCTTTTCCAGTCTGGTCCATCTGGTCCAATCTGGTCCATCCATGGCCTGTCCGGTCCGTCTGGTCGAGTTTGGTCTGCCTGGTCCTTCTGGTCCAATCTGGTCCAGTCTGGTCCTTCTGGCCCAACTGATCCATTTGGTCCATCTGGTCCAGTCTGGTCCAGTTTGGTCCACCACCAGACGTCCTTACCACCTTACACCCGTTCCGTAGAAATGCCGGGCACGGTCTCAGCGGTATAGCGGCCATTCGGCAGCGAGCAGGCCAAGTAAATTGCGGCCGTCTAGCCCTGGGGCGGCCGTAACTCGCGCATTTGTTCGGCACACGCTGGATTTCGTCTGTCATGACCCGCCCGCTGGTTGGCCACTTGATATTCAAAGACGCCGCTAAAATACAATGAGTGCGACAATTTATCGGTGCCCAATGACGGCCGGGCACGCTGCTTTGTGTGCTGCCAGATCCGGTGGATAAGAGCGGCCAGATTTACAGTGATGGCAGATCAGTGCTAAGCGGAATTTATGAAGAGCCCAGTGTTTGTGGGCACATAACTCGATCGGCAGCCTCCGTGCTCAGCAGTCTCGGCGATATTATCGGGGGTACGGAAATGCCCCGGGGCGAGCCGCACGCCAGGCGAGGAAACGCAGCCGATCTCAAAAGTGGAAGGGTTCGATAGTTCTAGTCTACACTTATATGAACTGGTTAGGGTTCAATGGCTCTATAATTATACTTTCCTTGTTTTTAAGAATTCCGGAATTAGATACCCGAGGGAGTAAAGTTGCCACGCTGATTTGATACCTCATAGTCGAAAGGTGGGCTACTAGAACCAAAAATTGCTGTGTTTGTAAATAAATAAGTGATTTGAGGGCAAAAAATGCCCGGATTTAAACTTCTAAAATTATTTTGAACATAAAATATTTCAGTTTGAGGGATGTTAAGGCCTCAAAGGGTAGGTACTTTTTAGGTATTAAATAAGTTCCTCTGCGAAAGTTCCGTCGTGAAAACGGCCAATATATTTCAAATAAGTTCGACAGCT